AAGAGTGATAGTTTGACTTCTTCTTTGCCGATTTGGATGCCTTTAATTTCCTTTTGTTGTCTGATTGCTGAGGCTAGGACTTCTAGTACTATGTTGAATAGCAGTGGTGATAATGGACATCCCTGCCGTGTTCCTGACCTTAGTGGAAAAGCTTTCAGTTTTTCTCCATTGAGAATGACATTTGCAGTGGGTTTTTCATAGATGGCTTTGATAATATTGAGGTATGTGCCCTCTATCCCTACATTTTGAAGAGTTTTGATCAGGAAGGGATGCTGTACTTTGTCAAATGCTTTTTTGGCATCTATTGAGAGTATCATATGGTTCTTGTTCTTTCTTTTATTAATGTGTTGTATCACATTGATTGATTTGCGGATGTTGAACCAACCTTGCAGGCCTGGAATAAATCCCACTTGGTCGTGGTGAATAATCCTTTTAATGTACTGTTGAATCCTATTGGCTAGTATTTTAGTGAGTAGTTTAGGTTTTTTATGAATTAAAATAGATCTCAGTTCATATTGGGGGGTTTTCCTTGAATACCTATATTGTCCCTTCCATTTCTTTTTGTAGAAGTCATTTATTATGGAGGTGTAGAATATTTATTTTTATTTATCTAGTTGACTATTTGTCACTCTTCATCTGCTTAGAGAAACTAGATTCAATAAACATGAACAATAATTTCTTTGAAAGAAAGGAGTACCAAAAAGGATGTGGTCTTGCCATTTGTGACAACACAGATCAATCTACAGTGTTTTATACTGAGTGAAACAAGTCAGACAGAGAAAGACAAATGCTATATGATTTCACTTATATGTAGCATCTAAAAACAAAACAAATGTGAATAAAAAAAGTAGAATAAGAGAACAAACAGATGGTAGCCAGGTTGCTGGGGGATGAGCAAAATTGGTGAAGGGGAGTGGAAGGTACAAGCTTTCAATCATGGAATGAAAGAAAATAAAGGTGGTGCAACATAGGGAGTATAGTAAGTGGTATTGTAATAACATGGTGAGAGATGGTAGCTATACTCCTGGTGAGCATAGCATAAGGTATAGAGTTGTTGAATCACTGTATTGTATACATGTAACTAATGTAACATTGTATGTCAATTATACTCAAATAAAAAAAATTACTTTTGAAAGAAGGAAAAAATTTTTTATAAAGGGGGGGTACCTTGGCAGTAATAGTTCCCATACTTCTTTTAGTTTTCAAATACGTTTACATGATAGTTTTCACATTTATTTCTTATTAAAGTTATTTTTATAGACTTTCATACAAACAGGGGTTTTTTCCTTAATCTAGCTTAAAATATTTCTAATAGTAATTTCTATGAATATCAATTACATCTAATCATTTAGGTAAGAAGCGAAGCCTCCTTTTTTTTTTTTTAAGACTTTATTTATTTATTTGACAGAGAGAGATCACAAGTAGACAGAGAGGCAGGCAGAGAGAGAGAGAGAGAGAGAAGCAGGCTCCCTGCTGAGCAGAGAGCCCAATGCGGGACTCCATCCCAGGACCCTGAGATCATGACCTGAGCCGAAGGCAGCGGCTTAACCCACTGAGCCACCCAGGCGCCCTCTAAGCCTCCTTTTAAAAAAAAATACTTATTTAAGTAATTTCTACCCCCAACTTGGAGCTTAAAGTTATGACCCCAAGATCAGGAGTCACATGCTCCTCTGAGCCAGCTGGGTACCCCTAAGCCTCCTAAACTGTACATTCCTAGTGAATCAGTGATTTGGTTTTTTGAAAAGCTATCATTGTATGTAATGAATGTCATCATTCTTTGTTTCTTACTTGATCAATTTTACTTGATCTTCATGGGTTTTCATTAAATACAGTACCTAGCAGTCTGTAGATTGATCAATCTTTTTATTTTTTAATTGGCAACAAAATGATATATTTTTAATTTTTTTTACTTTTGTTTAAATATTAAACTAGATGTACAGAAAAAGGTATTAATGTCAATATTACTTTTCACAGTATTATTTTATCTCTCTCTTATACTCTGTGGCTTATATATATATATTTTTTAAAGATTTTATTTTATTTATTTGACAGAGATCACAAGTAGTCAGAGAAACGGGGGCGGGGGAGGGGGTGGAGCAGGCTCGCAGAGAACTCAGGTGGGGCTCCATCCCAGGACCTTGAGATCATGACCTGATCCGACAGCAGAGGCTTAACCCTATGAGCAACAGAGGCGCCCCTATTCTGTGGTTTATAAAGCACTTTCATGTATGCTGAGGTCTTAGGAAGTTAATAAATGTTTACCTTATAATTGGAGTTAGACACATGGGAGTTGAGAAATTGAGATGATAATGCCAATTTAACTACTGATAAAACTGTTAGAAAGAGGACTTTTTCATCCCAGAGTAGGGTATATCTATCCATCCAGTCAGAGCAGTTGTAGGCTTCTTAGCCTTCTACAGTTGTAGGCCTCTTAGCAACTGGCACAAACCATCTAAAATGTCTGCTTTGGGTCACCTGGGTGGCTCATTTGGTTGAGCGGCTGCTCAGGTCATAATCGCAGGGTCTGGGGATGGAGCCCCAAGTCAAGGCTCTCAGCAAGAGCCTCCCTCTCCTTATCCCTGCCACTCCCTTTGCTTGTACTCTCTCTCTCTTTCTGTCAAATAAGTAAATAAAATATATTTTTTAAAAGTTTAAATAAAATGTATGCTTTGTGCATGTAGGCAGTTGCAGAAGAGGGAGGAAAGAAGACTGGGCTAATCATGCCTAAGCCCTGGTTACAAATCCACTGTAGTTAAGTCATTTTTCCTCTCTAGTGAGTATTAATCTAATGGAGTTTCCTATTAATAAGAGTACTACATTATCCCATTTGATCTGGAAAACAACTCTGTTATTAATAAAATAGAAATGATTATTTTCATTTTTTATGTAATAGGATAGGGACAAAACTGTTGAGAGTAGGTAGATAAGAGAAAATCTGATTTTTTTTGTTGTTCATTGTTTTGAGCTGATATCTCCCATAAAATATAGGAAAGAGGGGCGCCTGGGTGGCTCAGTGGGTTAAAGCCTCTGCCTTAGGCTCAGGTCATGATCCCAGGGTCCTAGGATCGAGCCCCACATCGGGCTCTCTGCTCTGCAGGGAGCCTGCTTCCTCCTCTCTCTCTGCCTGCCTCTCTGCCTACTTGGGATCTCTGTCTGTCAAATAAATAAATAAAATCTTTAAAATATATATGTATAGGAAAGAATTAATTTTTATCAACTTTAACATAATAGTGGATATACATTTTAAGTTGTATAGCTTCTAATTAAGGTTCAGTATATAGGCATTTAATTATCTTAAATTCGCATACAGTTAGGTTCATGCTTTCCCATAATAGTTTTTTTTCTTTTTTCTTTTATAATAGTTTACTGAAATATAATTTGCATACCATGCAGTTGAGCCTTTTAACATGTACAGTTTTATCATATTCACAAAGTTGTATGACTGTGACCATTATCTAATTTTAGAACATTTTTATTGCCACCAAAAAAAAGAAATACTGTACCTCTTAGCAGTCACTGTTCATTCCCCTGTTATCCCAGACCCTGGAAACCACTATTCTACTTTCTACTGGATTCTGCTGGATTTACCTACTCTGGACATTTCTAATAGGGGCCCTGGGTGGCTCAGTTGTTTGAGCGGCTGCCTTCGGCTCAGGTCATGATCTCAGGGTCCTGGGCTCCCTGCTTAGCAGGAATTCTGCTTCTCCCTCTCCCTCTGCTCCTCCCTCCCTCTCTCCCTCTTTTCCTCCCCATCTGCTATTCCCTTTGTCTCTCCCTCTCTAAGTGTGTGTGTGTGTGTGTTTGTGTGTGTGTGTATTATGAAGAAGTAGCAAGATTTGAAGGTAGTAGAGCTAGGCAAGATTTGTTTTATAGGAACTTGTGTGTTGAGCTAAAGAATTTGAATTTTAACCTGTCCACTTTAGGAAGCCTGAGACTTGCACTTAGACTTTAGAGGGGGGGGATATGAGGGAAGAGAAAAAGTAAACATAAAAATAATACACAGTGAAAGGGCCCCCAAAATCCTTTTATTTAAAAAATTTTATAAAAGAATGTTCCATTATGGGTTCCTGGTTTATGTTTATTTCCATGAATATAACCTTTTTGATAGGTTTAAGCAATTGGAATAGAAAGAGAGGTGAAAAGGAAATAGGTTAGTAAGAAGGGTTAGAATTGGAATGGGAGGTAGAGGGAAACAGGAAGATGAGAGGGAGGTAGAAGAGGAATAGGGGCCAAAAGGTGATAGAGGTGGAAGGGAGGAGAGGAAGCAGACATTTGATCTTCCAGCTAGAGACACTCAGTGGAAAGAAGGCCTATTGCCAGAATTCATGTTGTGCTTTGTGACACTGAAAAAGAAGGTCTGCTTTTACTTGCTGGTTTAACAATGACCATTAGATCCACTACCTGTTTCTTTGTTTGTTTGTTTTTAAGGGGATAGAAGAATTATCACCTTTTATTTTCTTGACTTATTTCTATTTCTCCAGGCAATACAGGTATACATGGTTTTTGTTTGTTTTTGTATATTGCGTGCATTATGTGGTGATACTATATCAAAGTAAGAATATCAATTTTCATACTTTTTTAGTATCTTCCCTAATATGCTAATTTTTAAGATATAACAAAATTAATTAGGCTTTCTTCACAATAATATATATTGGATTAAATCTGACTGAATTTCATAAGTTTCTACTTCCCTTATTTCTCTGTATCCCACAACTTTAGGAAAAGGATAATATCATTGGGTAAACTTTCCTTCTCTTCACAGAGATTATTAAAAAGATTTACTAATTCTTTTGGCATGTTGAAATATTTGCTGTTATTTTTCCATATTCATATATTTATTAATTTTTTTCAGCTTTATTTTTGAGGCTATTATTTGAAAAGCATCTAGAAGCACATTGTTCTTATAGTACCAGAGAATTGGCTGCTTTTCTAAATTTTTTTAATTGGCTGATTTTTTTGTGTTATAATTTTTTAAGCAGTACGATCACTTTCAAGAGCTGGCTTAGTAATTACTTAAAGATAAAATAAAATAGTTAATGCTTAAATAATACTGACTTTGGTTCTGTTTAGAATGGCGTTGGGGCTGTTAGGTAACCATTAAACTTAAAGACCTTCTAAGGTCAAAGGTTAAAAGTTAAATTATCTTGAACAGTGACAGATGACAGACTAGTTCTTTGTGTAATGAAAATACAAATATATAGAAGATATATACATGATGTACCCTCCAAGGAACCTCATTTGGCCATCATAGGCCCTTAATACGTAAAAGGAAAAATGAGATAGGAAAAAATAAAAGCTTTGATAAGCATCAGTGGTCTGGAATTTCCACACAGTATTTGAAAATGAGGGGAAGGGTTGTATACTTTCCATTCATTTTGTTAATACAATATAGCCATATAATTGTCATCTCTTATTGTTTTCTAATCAAAATAATATTTACTGGGGTACCTGGCTGGCTCAGTCAGTGGAACATGGCAACTCTTAATCTCGGGGTTGTGAGTTCAAGCCCCATGTTGAATGTAGAGATTACTTTAAAAAAATCTTTCAAAAAAATTTTACTGTGTTTTTCTTGAATGTCCTTTAAAAACAACTGTTGAGTTCCACTCTTACTCTAAAAAGCTGTAAATAAGTTCAGTTAATTCTTCATTTACAAAGGGCATATAATTGCCGGTATTTGACCAGTAACGGTTTCCATTCTCTTCATATATTAATCCTCTGGGTTCTAACAAGTATGTATGGATATACATTCACAATTTCTTTTAAACTCTTAGACATTGCTGAAAGTGTCATTTGCCATTTAAATATTTAATAAGCACAGGATACTTACTTGTTTGTATCAGTATGTGAGGCTAAATGATGCTGCAGTAACACCAACAACAAAAAAACTCAGTGGCACTCAACAACAGTTCTTTTTCTCTCTCACTTTATGATAATACTGGCTGTGGTTTGGAAGCAGGGCCGTTCTCTTCACTCTAGGATCCAGGCTGAAGAAGTTGCTCTTATCTACAACACTGACATTTTCGTAGTAGAGGGGAAAAAGGAAAAAGTGGAACCATGTAAGGTTATAAAAGCTCTTCCTTGGAACTGGCATATTATTTCAGTTCACATTTCATTATACAAATGAGTCACATGGCCAGTTCTGACCTGAGTGGCACAAGAATTATAGCCTTCTCACAAGGAAGGACCAAGAGAAAGAGGGGCAGTGAATAGTTTAACAATAAAAATTTTCCATATGATATTATTAAAAGGATAAAATTAACTATTTAAATATGTAAGTGTCTACAGAGAAAAAAAATTAAACTTTTCCTAAAGTGTAGCGGACTCTAATTAATTTAGAAATTGGTGAGTTATACAAGCCAAATTTAGTTTACCTTTGCAGTGCTTATGTTGTGAGGTTTTACTAAAACAACAGATAGTGTAATCTATGTGAAAGAGCTTAACCTCCTGGGGAACAGTTTTTTTGGATACTTAAAAGGTATTTATTTGCATATGCCAGCATCTCAGAGTATTTTGGTGGAAAACTAGTCCTTAAGTGTCAATAAGGAAGAATTTTTTTTTTTGTTTTTTAAGATTTTGTTTATTTGAGAGAGAGGGATTGAGAGAATGAGTGGAGGGGCAGAATGAGAAGCAGACTCACCATAGAGCAGGGAGCCCAATGTGGGACTTGATCCCAGGACCCTGAGATCACGACCAGACCTGAAGGCAGACGCTCACCCAGGCATTGGAAAGGAAGAATGTTTTTGGAGTCAAATATATTGGGGAACCTATATACTATATTCGTTATTGGATATTTATAGTGTTTATCAGAATATTAAATACTTTGAGAAATCGTTTTGTTCATTTAGTTTTGCTTTAACCAAGTATTTTCCTAGATTTACTTAATTTAGGAACCTGTTTTGCTAATTAATACCTATTAAATTTTCTTAAGGAAATCCTGGCATGAGAAAGTTGGTAGGTTAATTGTAATTTATTCATTAGATCTGTGCCCTCAGTACTTTACAATTCTTTTGTTTATTTTAGTAGTGGTTACTTAGTCTTTATGCACTAGTTTTTCAATTGTTTTATTTTTTAACCTCAGGTTATCCTAGTTCAGGGAGATCCTCTGGTAGAAAAAACTATTCTGAATTGGATTCAGTCAGTTTCTAGGTGTTCTTTTGGTGTGGGGCCTCTTGAGTCCTGGATGTAGATCCTTAAAGAAGCCCTCAGTACCAGCTAGGGGCAGATACTGCCTCAGAAGTCTTGTAATGGCAAAAACATAGCTGACATTTTTGAGGTTAGGATTGTGGGACAAGCTTGTTTTAAATAGAATTTTTTAAAAATATTGAGACAAAAAAATTTAAAAATATTAAGACTAAGTGCACATCTTAAAACTTGTTTGTTATTCACATAACGATAAAACAAAGATGACATATAAAACCTCCTCTTAGGCATTAGTCCATCTCTACAAAGTCTTAACAGAGTTATTAAAAATTTAATATGGATTTTCCTGTTTTTTTTTTCTGTTAGGGTGGAAGTTAAGTTGCAGAGTAAAGGAAGTTAAATTCAAGGGTCAACAAAGACAATTTCTAGAACTGATTTTAGAAAAGAAATAAGTGTTGGTGGTTCTTTTTATGGAATGCTTATGTGTACCCACAGCTCAGCCAGCAGGAGTGCCAGAAATCTTAAAGAAAAGCTTGCATAGCTGTTCAGTGAAAGGAGAGGAAGAAGTATTTTTAATTGGCAAGAACTTTCTGAAAGGAACTAAAGTTATTTTCCAAGAAAATGTTTCTGGTAAGTAGGCATAACGCTGGTATGAAGATTGTTGCACGTTCTACTTTGTTTTAAAGATATAATGATAGCTACAAAATAAAAAACGTTTAAAAATTTTAATAAATTACTGCTTTTATTTCAATCAGATGAAAACTCTTGGAAGTCAGAAGCTGAAATTGACATGGAATTATTTCATCAGGTATAATTTAAGCCTTTTTGTCATTTAATTATTTACTCTCTGAGAAATTCAGTTTTGTTCTGAAATTTTCCTGAATCAAACAGATTTAATTTCTTCTTTATGTGGGATTCATATAAATCATTTAACTTTCTTTCTTGAATTTCTGTAGCTGAAAATTCTACTAATGCTAGAAATGACAGTTGTCTATTTTTAAAAGTTTGAAGCATTAGTAAATAATTGTTAATAAGTGAAACATTTATTTCCTAATATTTGTTTTTTCTGAGGATTTGGATTATCCTAGCCTAATATTTAGTTTATCAAAGGGAAACTTATTTATTGAGTACCTGCTATGTCAGGGGTTTTATGTTTGTTAGTTACCTTTTCACAGAGGCACTGTTTGTTAAATTTACACAAAAGAGTCTGTATTGTAGGACCTCACCATGTATTGTTTTCAAAATGACAAGGAAAAAGAGCTTGAAAACAAGGATAAAAAACTGATTGAAGAATTAGAATGTAGAACAAATAGGACCAAACTTACAGAAATTGAGACTAGCAGAAAAGGACAAATTTTTAAACAAATCAGATAGGACGCATATGCAGAAGAGTAGCATATATAGGTGTGGATCACAGACAGAGAACAGAGCAGGAATAAACTAATGTGTAAAGTACCTAAACCCTAAAATTTACCATAAAATGTTGATAGGAGTAGAAAAGAGCACATGAAAACAAGTAGAGAGATGGAAGAGGCAAAAATTAGAGACTGGCCAATTTATCAAAACAGTTTAATCTTTTTAGTTTTTAAAATTTTTTATTCCTTTGTATTTTTTTAAAAATAAATTTTAAAATATGTATCCAGTAAAATACATTGCCATACTCAAAGCTAAGGGCACAGTGTTCCCTCATTTCAGATACTAACCAGCCACAAGTTCAGGGGTCTTCTGACCACTCTCATTTTTGAACAGTTGACTTCAAACTTAGGGTTTCCCACTCCCCACTTAGATTTGCTAGAATAATTCACAGTACACAGGAAACACTATATTTAATTTCAGCTTTATTATAGCAAAAGAACACTAATCAGAACCAGCCAAAGGGAAAGTCACATAGAGCAAGGTCTAGGAAGGTCCCAAAGGTGAAGCTTTTGTTGTCCTCAGGATGCTTTACACACTCAGTACATCTATGTGTGACAATATGCAGAGTATTAACAGTAAGGAAGCTCACCCAAGCCATTGGCGTACAGAGTTTTTATTAGGGTTTGGTCACATACTGCCCAAGCAGCTAATCTTTAGTCTCCAGTTCCACCAGAGGTTGGAACTGATACGACATTGCAAAGTCCCCTTCATAAATCACATTGTTGGACTGTCCAGTGACCAAAGCCCCCTGTCAGAAATACTCCTATCAGGCAGGAGTTTCTAAGGTCTTAGAGATTACCTTTCAGTAGCCAGGGGCAAAAACTAAACCATAGGGTAAAGTTAATTCTTCACAAAATAGTATCCTTTTAAAGTGGAGCTTCTTACATACCTAGACAGATGCTATGTAGAAAGTTTTCCTCTGTCTTTATGCTACTACATGCTGCGAAAGGGAGATAATAGGATGTAACAGTCATTCCTTTATCACATACACTGTTGGGCAATCTCTGTCTTAACTGAAGTTATAGCACTTGCTTTGTCACTAGCAATCTTGGTTACCTCAATAAGACAAGTCACTTTCATGCCCCAGTTTCCTAATCTGTGAATTTTTACTAAATTATTTAAGAGGTCCCCTCTAATTCTGACATTTTATGATTTCTTATATAACTTATTTGAGCAGACCATTGCCACTTCCCATGAACCAACAGTGGCTTCCTTTCGAGGACTCCCAGAGGTTAGGGACAATGTATTATGACTCTTCCGTGTTCCTCATAATATTAAGCACTCAACAGATACTCATGAAAAACTTGTTGGGTCATTTTATTCACTTTGAAGAAAATGAGGACTCGGGTCTGAGGTTCCTTATTCTTTTTGCGGGTACTTCAAACCCTAATTTCAACCAGGCTCTTACATGCCTATAGTTTTGGTCTTGACTGAAGCTTAATTTTTCCATGCAATACTTCTGTGTGTGCCATAAACATGTTTTGTTTTTTGATGAGTTGGTTAAATTAATGTAAACTCCTTTACAAGTAATACTGTTATAATTTCTCTTCCTTACCTTATCCTATAGCTAGTTCTAGAGACTGAGAAACTTGCCCTATAAATTATACAAAATATTAATAAGATAGCCCCAACAAATTATAGTCTTAACTTGCTGTCTCATGTAGAACCTAATGGTAAGAAATCTTTGTTTCTTCTCCTCCTCATCTTCTTCCTCCTCTTCTTCTTCTTCTTCCACATCTTCCTCCTCCTCTTCATCCTCTAACTCTTCCTCTCCCTCTTCCCCTCTCCTTCTTTCCTTCCTTCCTTCTTTACCTTTGAGGCATGGGGTAGTTAATATTCTTAAAACACTTTTTTTCAGGGTAGTTATGCCAGCTACAATAGATTAAAGAAGAATAATCATAAAAATAAGACATGGTGGAATGGAAAGGAATTAATGTCCTTATTTGGTGGCTATATCTAGAGGTCCTGGGGTTTTTGCAAGCAAGTATGTATAACAAACTAAAACATAATATGATCTTCCATTAATTCTGTGGTTGTGCTGTTCATTTTTAAATTTTAATTTTTTTCAGCAAGCTTTTTTTTCCTAAGGGACTTTCTGTGACATGTTTTAGAATGGGATCACAGTGAAGATAAAAAGAATTGATCCAATGGATTATATTAAAGAAAAAAAAAATTAAACATTTAGGGGTGCCTATCTGGCTCAGTTAGTGGAGCATGTGACTCTTGATCTAAGGATTGTGGGTTTGAGCCTCTGTGTGGAGATAACTTAGAAAAATAAAATTTTAAAAAATTAAACATTTAGAGGGAAGGGTACTCAGAAAACAAAAGAAAAGAAAATTGTAGTCAGTAAAGAAATACCAGGCCCATACAGAAAAGCTGAAAGGACCTCTGTGATATTAAAACATGACCAGAAGATGATATAGTAGAAAAGACCATTTAAAGAACCTTGCAAATTGCAATTATGAATAATTGTGGTAACTATTCATTTATAACCCCAAAATCAAATCCTCAGACATTAAACTTTTTTATTATTTAAATTTAAAAATTGAGGGTGCCTGACTGGCTCAGTCAGAGGGGCTTGTGAATCTTAATCTCAGGGTTGTGAGTTCAAGCTGCATGTTATGTGTAAAGATTAAGAATGAATAAAGCTTTAAAAACAGACTTAAAAATTGAGATTAATGAAGTCTGGGGAAACAGTTCTTTGTTTAATATCTGACTCTTCTATACAAAGCCATAATATGTCTCAGGTACATGTATACCAAATGTGGTAGGCACAGGGTCATTATATCTATTCCCATTTTAATAATTTCAGATAAATTCTGTAGAAATTGCCTATTAAATATATACAAAAAGATATGTATCTTAAAGATCAATCTCTAAGAGATCTCTTTCACATATATTTTGCATATATTTAGATATATATAGTCTCTTTCTATGTGTGTGTGTGTGTATATGTATAAGACATACACACATATTAAGACTGTGTGTGTGTATATATATATATATAAGACATACACACATATTAAGACTACGTGTGTGTGTGTGTGTATATGTATATATACAGTCTTAAAGATAAGTTGGTTATGAAAGAAAGCAAGAGAGTCTCACAGCTTGAAATACAGAGGTGATTTAAAGATGGGAACTAGGAGCTAGATATGGTCTTATTAAAAACTAAGAAGTATACAATTCGATTTAAGAATAACTTGTTTTATAAAACATAAAACAGGCATTAGTATATCAAAAACACAGGTGTGTAGATTGTTATTTCTCAACCCTTAGTCTTCTGAGTTCTTTCTATTATATTCTTTAGAGGGAGAGAATAAAAAAATAAGGAGAAACTTAGGAGTTTTGGAGAAGATGGAATTTTTAGTATAAATATGGAAAGACAGTTCTTGAAAGAAATGCCAAAAGAGATCCTCAGAAATTTGGGGAACATCTAGACTAAAAAAAGCCTTGAGAATTTAGAGGTTATGTATTTTCAAATGATTTTATTAGGAATTTTGTTTTGTTATGTGTCTTTAATTATGTATATGTATATATATCCCCAACTGCAAAATGAATGTGACAGTGATAAATTATCATTTAGGAGAATGAAAAATATCTAACACCATTGCTTACAAGTTCTAAAAAAGATTATCTGCTGAGAAGAAGAAAATTGTTATTTTGAATCCAAGCAGATTTTTTTAAGAAATTAAAATTGGGATTGCTTCTGTTTTTCATAAATTTTTATAAAGATTTTTCTTTATTTATTTGACAGAGATCACAGGTAGGCAGAGAGGCAGTCAAAGGGGGCGGGGGGGGGGGGGGGGGGGGGTGGGAAGCAGGCTCCCCGCTGTGCAGAGAGCCCCATGCGGGCCTTGATCTCAGGACCCTGAGATCATGATCTGAGCCGAAGGCAGAGGCTTAACCTACTGAGCCATCCAGGTGCCCCAGGATTGCTTCTGTTTTTACCCTAGAGAACATTGAACCTGCTCCAAGGGCCTCCCAACCCTTTGTATGTTTTATCTGTGCTGCTTGCTTAATGGTAGTTAATTGCTCTTAATTTCTTAAAATAGTATTTAAAAACAACTTATCACTATTCATAATTTAGTTTTTAATTCAAACCACTTATAGGATTTCTAGAATCAGATTGAGGGAGTACAAAGGAGTAGTATCAAAATAGGTTCATTTGTTTTTTTAAAGGTTTCAGATTAGGTTTAAGTATGCTCTCCAAAGCAAGTGGAGTAAAAATTTTTAAATAAAATATGCATCTGACTTTTAGATACTAATTCTGTTACTGATTACCAAGAAAAAAGATCTTACTCAGAATAATAATTTCAATTACAGAATTTGCCAAATAATTTTAAGACTAGAAAGATACCTCACAAGTCCATCCATTCAGCCATCTCTTTAACTGTAGTTAAGACTGCTTTGTGACATAGTTACAGTGTTTAAACTAAAGAGTAACACTAAGAGTACACAGGATTTTACAACTGTTTATTAGAAGTTAGATCAGTGCAGATACATTTTTTGATGACCTCAGGTGCATTTGAATACATACTTTCAGACTTTTGTTCCTCAATATCTATGGATACACTCATTGTCTATATGTTTTCTCATCTGTCTTAAAAATGATTTTTTTTTTTTTTTGAAATGGCTAACTGGGCTTAGGACGCATAATGCCATAAATGAGAAGCTGTTTCTTTATTTGTAATGTGACTATTTCAGAGAGTGTTTTAAGATGGCTTAGAAACAAATTAAGTGCACAGAAATTGAAACCTTGACCTTGACCCCACTTGTCACTTGATCTGTCTGCCGAGTCCACCAACTCTAGTCTAGCTAAATAAAAAATGTCATCAGGGGTGCCTGGGTGGCTCAGTGGGTTGAGCTTCTGCCTTCAGCTCCGATCATTGTCTCGGGGTCCTGGGATCGAGCCCCACGTCGGGCTCTCTGCTCGGGGGAGCCTGCTGCCTCCTGCCTTTCTGCCTATTTGTGATCTCTCTCTCTCTCTGTGTCAAATAAATAAATAAATAATCTTTTTGTAAAAAAATGTCATCGAACTCTTGTCATTCTCATTTGTCAACATTGGCCTCTTGCATATCACATCGTCAGTAAGAAAACATAATCACTGCCCCTTAATATTCCTTCCCATTACTGTAATACACTAGGGAAGAAGAGCAAAACTCACATATGGTTCATGGTCTCCTTCAAGAAGATGGAGTCTCCTTGAATAAGTGCTGATGAAGGACTTATGAATTTTATGAGGATTCTTCTGCCACTAATCCAACAAAAATAACTTTGATTTGCTAGAGTTTGGGTACACTGAATTCTATTTAACTTTTTTTTTTAAGATTTTTTTTTTAATTTATTTATTTGACAGAGAGATCACAAGTAGGCAGAGAGGCAAGCAGAGAGAGAGAGGAGGAAGCAGACTCCCTGCTGAGCAGAGAACCCAATGCGGGGCTTCATCCCAGGACCCTGGGATCATGACCTGAGCCAAAGGCAGAGGCTTTAACCCACTGAGCCACCCAGGCGCCCCATCTATTTGACTTTAAATGAGAATTAAAGTGGTTAGGAAGCAGTTGTGAATTGCATTGCAAAGTACATCTCACAATTGATGTTTTACAAAACATGATAACTGACATTGTGCTTGGTGGACATATTTTTTTCTCAAAATTTATTCATTCTTTTATTCAACAAATACATTTGAGTGTATTTGGTGTAAAGTGCTTAACAGTGGATATAGAACAAAGAACAAAACACCCTAGGTTCTTATGGAGCTTAAATTCTTGTGATTGGAAAGAGACAAAAAACAAACAAATAATCACAGTAATTTCAAGTGGTGATAAATGCTATTTTAGAAATAAACAAGATTATGTGACCAGATTGGGAAGGGGTGCTACTTTAAATAGAATGAAAGCCTCTCTGTGGAGGTAACATTTTGAATAAGACCTGAAAATGGGTAAGGAACTAGTCTTTGAAGAGGTGAAAGAATATTTCAATGGGAGAAACCAGCAAGTTGTAATGACTGTGAGGTTTTAAAAAAAAAAAAAAAAATGAATTTTGTGTGTTAAAAGAATGGACTGAGAAGGTCAGTGTGGTCAGAGTATAATAAGCCTGGGGGGAATGGAAAAAAGATGAAGTTGACAGGAGAAGCACCTTGTAAGCCATTGTAAAACATTAAAAGCAATTTTAAGGTTAATGTCCTGATGCCTGTGAACCTGAGCTTTAAGTTGCATTTTTTTTTTCCAGTCAGAGTTTTTTATACTTTACAGCTAACAAGAAATGTATTTAATTATAATTATTTCAAAATTTTAATTTAAATATTGCTTCTTTTTTAACTCTTGGTATTTCCTTTAAATTTAGAATCATCTTATTGTGAAGGTTCCCCCATATCATGACCAACATATAACTTTGCCGGTGTCAGTGGGAATATATGTAGTGACCAATGCTGGAAGATCTCATGATGTTCAGCCATTCACTTACACTCCAGACCCAGGTATGTCAAAATAAAAAATTCTGAACTAAAATCAGTAATTAATTTCTAGTTCTTTGGAAGCATATGAATATCAGCGATCCAAAAAGAAAAAGTTGTGTGCTGAGGTGAACTGATACTAAGGGCATTATTTCTGAAGAAGATGGCCACCAAATAATGTTTTTACTCTTAGGTGTTTTTTCTGCCTATGCTCTAATAGTAAAAAAGAAAAACTAGGAATGCTTTAAAGAATTTTATCTTCAAAATTATATCATGTAGATTACTTCTTAATAAGAATTATCATTCATTAAGTACCTCTTACATGCGGTAAGTTCAAAGTGACAACCTTGGGAAACAATACTTCAGTCTGTGTCTGGCTTATAGGATGTATTTTGGGAGAAGTGAGAGATAAGCTTGGATTGATAAATGATAAAATCACAAATAGAGTTACATGCACGTAACAATTTCTAATTTGTGTAGTCAAAAATATCAGAAGACTGCTGGTTAATGAGTATTTTAAATATAATTTCAAGCATTTAGAAACCAGAGCAATAAGAACAATTGAAATGTTTATAAGTTTAGAAGATCTCTGGGTAAGAAGTATCGCAAGAATTTTTTGCCTACATTCATTTAGTTGCCTAGAGAAGGAAAGCCTTTTCTCGGCAAAAGTGGGGAGAACATTTTGGAAAATGAAACTCTTCACAAGTTCCATTGACCTAGGCTTGGTTTCTGCCATGTTTACCATTGGTTCAGTTCATTCCAGTCTCGGGCACACTTCAGAATTAGCAGTTCTTCCATATTTGTAAGCTTATCATTTATGTTATTCCCAAATAGTTTCAGGAGTCAGTGAAGTCCAAAGTGAATAAAGGTGTCAGGGGAAAAAGAGTCCTGGCAAGAGAAAGCGATGGAAACAGTAGCTGGGACAGTTATATCTAGTCTTACTAATTACTTTCTATCACTCACCTCTCCCCTTTTTAAAAAATCATGTCTGAATTTCACAGCATTTGCTTATTCACCATTTTGCTACAAAAGTATGCCACAGTATATAGCATTAATGAAATTAATATTTGTTTCAGAATAAAAGATTAGCAGTAAAGTTTTCAGACAGGAAAAGGCAAAGTTTAGAAGTAATAGTTTCAGTAAAAATAGGAAAGAGTAGATACTCAAAGATCAAATATTTGGTTGTTTTCTTTCTAGGAGGGTTTCAAAAATCCAAGGAAGTTTGGCTTAAAACTAATGGTATTTAAAGCATTTTAGTAACAGCTAATTACTTAAATAGTGGCATTTAGTATATTTTGTGATGAGGAACTTATTCATGTTGGGGGAAAGCTGGCATAATTGATACAGAAAAACATTTTTCCTAATGAGCTTCTCTATCATCTGTGTGGAAGGGAAGAGGGAAGTTTATATGTGTGGTCAGGGAATAGCCTTAAAGATTTTACAGTCCTGAGAATACTGAGGTTTTATGGTTATTTGTTTGTTTTTACTAATCAATTATGAAGAACATCAGGACTTAGTATTAGCACTAAGAATCCTCATTTATTAGTAATACATGCTGATGATTAGAAATCCCCCTTTGAAAATTGTCAGATTAAATAACTTTTAAGTCTTCTGCTTTACTACATATACTAATTGGCCATCTTTGGCCACATTTAAAATTTTTCCTTTCATATTTTGTATTCAGTATAACATTTGGTATCAGAAACTCTTAATCAAATAAATACATAGTATGTAAGCTTTGTAATAAGACCTTATGCTTCAGTTTCTGCCTTTATGTTGTAGCTAATTAAAGAATCTTCCTATAATTTCACTTTTTTGTGTTTTATAAAATATAATCATTTCAGGTATACATGAGAGAATATGATTTTGGGAAAACGTGGTTATAGAAAATTTGCACTATCTCATTATGATAAACCAATTGCTGTTGTGATTCATCTGGGACTGTAGTTAAACATTTGAATATTCAGTTGTGTAGAATTATAACAGCAAAAACTAGGCTTACCCTAATATGCACAAGTCAGTGTAGAAATGGCAACCATTATACTATTTGTCTCAATATTTAAAAGTTATGATTTTACTAAGATACTTTCATATTAACCTGGAAGTCGAGATTTGAATTTAGGATTATCAGAATGCTTGGGAGTTCTAGGCCAAATACGGCAACATGAAGAAAAAGGATTCCCCAGCCTGCCAGCCTTCTTTTCTCCTTTTTTTAAAAAAATTTTTTGGTAAAGATTTTTATTTATTTGTCAGAGAGAGAGTGCACAAGCAGGGGGAGCAGAAGACAGAGTGAGAGCCAGGCTCCCCACTGAGCAAGGAGCCTGATGTGGGACTCTGTCTCAGGACCCTGGGATCATGACTGGAGCTGAAGGCAGACGCCCAACCAACTAAGCCACCCAGGCGCACATCTTTTTATCTTTTTTTTTTTTTTTTTTTTTTAATTTTATTTGAGAGTGAGAGAATGAGAGGAGGGAGGGTTGGTCAGAGGGAGAATCAGAGCCTGATGTGGCACTTGACACTGGGACTCCAGGATCATGACCTGAGCCAAAGGCAGTCTCCCAACCAACTGAGCCACCCAGGTGCCCCCTTCTTTTCCCTTTCTTAGCTTCATTCTATCCCTAGGGTGCCTTTGTGTACCAACCAGTGTTTCCAAGCTCTGTTCACTCTATAGGCCCAAGACTATACACATAGGCTAAAATAGTTATGCAGAAAATTTGGGGATCTTGGGTACTTGGTACATGGTCTAAAAGTAGGATTAGGGCAGTGGTTCAAGTGAACAAAAACTGGCTCTGCACACACTGTCAGACATGAGCCTCTCTAAAGCCCTCTGAGTCTAGTACTCCTAAAAAGCACATTGCATGTGCATGTTCTCAAGCATTTAGATACTTTACAGGGTCGTAAAACTTTCTTTCGTTGCTAGTCACCAAAGCTTTTACTTCCATCTGTTAAGACACACAAATCACATTAGCTGTTTTTTGTAGTGACTCAGCAGTGGTGATTTCTATAAGAAATGAGGGATGTAAAATTTATGCTTTTTGTCGTTGTTGCTGTGACCAAAAACTGACTAAAACTTGATTTTAAAAGTAAAAATTTGAAGTGTTTTCAAAGATTAGTTTCTATTTTAAAATCTGTAATTGTTGGGGCACCTAGGTGGCTCAGTTGGTTAACTGTCCAACTTTTGATTTCTCTGTTTATGATCTCAGGGTCATGGGATCAAGCCGGAGTCAGGCTCCACACTAGGCATGGAGCCTGCTTGAGATTCTCTCTCTCCCTCTGCCCCTTCCACCCCGCTCACACATGCACTTTCTCTAAATACATACATACATACATACATACATACATACATAAAATTTGTAATTGCTAGAATTAATGTTATGGTTTAAAATTGTGGTGGCGCCTGGGTGGCTCAGTGGGTTAAGCCTCTGCCTTCAGATTAGGTCATAATCTCAGGGTTCTGGGATCGAGCCCCACATTGGGCTCTCTATTCAGCGGGGAGCCTGCTTCCCCCTCTCTGTCTGCCTCTCTACCTACTTGTGATCTCTCTCTCTCTCTGTCAAATAAAAAAAAAAAACTTAATAAAAAATAATAATAAATAAAATTGTCTGTGGATTTCTTTTCCATTCAATTCTCTATATGTCATTTGTTGGACCACCTATGTAGCACACTGAGATAAGTTATTTAACTTCATCCTTAGATGTGCACATCATGTCTTTTTATTCACAATTAATTAGCTCTTTATAGTCTCTTTATAAATATCATTTCACATTGTCATGTCAAAAATAAGAAATTAGAAAATAAGGTGGGGCTCCTGGCTGGTTAATCAGTAGCACATACCACACTTGATCTCAGGGTTATTAGTTCAAGGCCCACATTGGGCATACAGATTACTCAAAAATAAGTCAATAAAAGTAAAAATTTAAAAGAAATTGAAAGTAAGGTGACTCATTTCCCATTCTGAATAAGTTAGGGAATATAAAATAAATACATTGAAAAATAGAAATTAAAACATTTTTTTAAAAAATTACTGTATAGGCATTTTAAACAGAAACTTGGAATTTATTTAACTTTATCATTTCAGAACTAAACCCTATTCTTAGGCCCATTAAATTTTAAGTTGCCATAGTAGCTGTAGTTGATATGACTAGATGTAATAGGCCAGCGATTCTCCATTAATAATATACAAAGATTATTTTTTCCAAGGCTTTACAAAAAGAATAATTGTAATGTTACATATTCTCTATGTTCATCACAGCTTTTTTCAAATTAAGTTCGGTTAGTTGACAAATGTTTCTCAATCAGTTTTTTTAAGTAAATTATGTAGATGAATGGTGAATTTTTGTTATCTGGTATTACACTATATTTGATAATTTTTAAAAGTTTTGTGTCAGGGCGCCTGGGTGGATCAGTGGGTTAAAGCCTCTGCCTTTGGCTCAGGTCATGATCTCAGGGTCCTGGGATCAAGCTCCGCTTCGGGCTCTCTGCTCAGTGGGGAACCTGCTTCCCCCTCTCTCTCTCTGCCTGCCTCTCTTCTACTTGTGATCGCTCTGTCAAATAAATAAATAAGTTAATAAATAAATAAAAGTTTCATGTCAGTTTCGGGGTGCCTGGGTGGCTCATTCAATTAAACCAACATCCGACTCTTGATCTCAGCTCAGGTCTTGATCTCGGGGTCATGAGTTCAAGCCTAGCGTTGGGCTCCATGCTGGCATGTAGCCTACTTAAAGAAAAACAAGTTTCATAACAGTGTTCTACTCATCACATATCAACATGAATACTGTTATTAGAAGGATTTTTTTTAAGTTGCTCTTGCTTTTGTTTTTATAAGTGAGCATGTGCTACTGCCCATTTTGTTGCTGAATTTTAGGGCATAGATTGGTGGTTATAAGAACTCATTTCTTGGGGGTGCCTGGGTGGCTCAGTTGTTAAGTGTCTATCTTTGGCTCAGGTCATGATTCCAGGATTCTGGGATTGAGCCCCACATTGGGCTCCTTGCTCAGCGGGGAGTCTGCTTTTGCCTCTGCCTGCTGCTCCCCCAGCTTGTGTGGACTCCCCCCCGCCCCCCTGGTCTGACAAATAAATAAAATCTGAAAAACAACAAAACAAACAAAAAAATGACTCATTTCTGCTTAGATTTTCTGTTAAATAATAATGTTTTATGGGAAATATTTCAATTAAAGATTTTTAAGATACATATTTTTTTAGGAAAAGCTTAAATAAATACATCAATCCTTTTGTTTTGTTTTGCTTTAATAGCAACAGCTGGTGCTTTGAATGTAAATGTGAAGAAAGAAATATCTAGTCCTTCAAGACCTTGCTCTTTTGAAGAGGCCATGAAAGGTACCAACTCGTTTCTTTCCAAAAATGCTATTTTGTCTAGCAACTCTTACCATTATGTTTTCTTTTGTGTACTTGGAACACTTAGGATATCTTCTATGTCACAAAATAAATATTTAACTTTACTGAATGCAGAAACTTGTTTCCCAACTTGTATTTCCCCTTTATTCACCATATGAACAAACTGTTTTAAAGTATATGTTGGAGTAGAGGAGATTTTTTTGTTTTGTTTTTTATTCCCCAATGTTAAAAATGTTAAAATATAAAATAAAATAACTTATGTAAAATAGAGTCTATAAAGCTTCTTGCTACCAAAATTAGTACTTGACATTGAAATTTTAAAATTGAAGAGACCAAAATTTGAACTGTTTTGAAAGAATTCAGTATTTGCAAAGTTTCTTTAGTTTTTTTAGTTAATATTCTTCCTTCTGACATCTTTATTTACTCCCTGCCAGTCCCAAGAAACAATGAAGATATCTTCAGGATGTTTTAATGTAAAAGAGATTAGGTCTGTCTGTCTTCCTCCCTTTCTCCATCCCTTCCTCCCTCTCTCCCTTCCTCTCTTTTTCTCTCTCATCCTCTTTTTCTCTCTTCCTCTCTTTTCTTTTCTTTTTCTTTTTTTTTTTTCCCAGCATGCAGACTACACTTTGCCCAGCCTATGATACCTCAGGTGGCAGAGGGGCCAGAAGGGAGTAAATTTTTTCTTAAGAGATTTCTAACACAACTAGATACTCACCGGTGATGCTTTTTTGCAATTACATATGAAGATGTCAATTACATATTGGCCATTGATTTATTATAATTCTAGTCTTTATTTATCTTTTACTGCCATGAAATTCATGGGTTAAATCAAATTAAATTTTAAAATTAAAAATATTTAATCAAATTCAATGGATTTTTTTTTATATTGTCAGTAGTAAAATTCAGCATTTGTATATATACCATGTTCAGTATAGCTTGTCATTTTAATTTCTGACCATGAACACTTCCAGAGTAGATTAGTGAGGAATTATGCAATAGTAAGTAAACTGCAAAATGTATCTGATTGAACTACAGGAAAATTTACAAATCTGTATAATGGATAACCATAGCTTGCATTTATCGAATGTATATTAAAGTGCTAGGCAATATGCCGTACTCTTTACTGGCACTGTCTCATTTACTCTTCCAAATTCTATGAGGTAGATAATTTATTATTCTCATTTCACAGATGAAGAAACCAAAGTTCCAGAGAGGTTAAATAATTTGCCCAAGGTGACTTACCTAGTGTTAAAAATGGATAGGTTGAGCTCTTGTGCATAAGGTAACACATCTAAGCAAAAATAATTTAAGCCATGTTTATTAGATGAATAAATCTATAATTAATGAATCATTAAAGAAAGTTAAGGATATTTGTGGTCTTTTTTTTGCCAACTTCACCATCCCTGCTTTTCTCCAATTTTTTTTCTCCAAAAAAAAATTTTTTTTCAAAGATTTTATTTATTTATTTGACAGAGATCACAAGTAGACAGAGAGGCAGGCAGAGAGAGAGGAGGAAGCAGGCTCCCCGCTGAGCAGAGAGCCTGATGCGGGGCTCCATCCCAGGACCCTGGGACCATGACCAGAGCTGAAGGCAACGGCTTTAACCCACTGAGCCACCCAGGCGCCCCGTTATTTATTTATTTATTTATTTATTTATTTATTTATTTATTTTTAAGATTTTATATATTTACTTGAGAGAGAAAGAGAGAATGAGAGAGAGCATGAGAGGAGAGAGCTCAGTGGGAGAAGCAGACTCCCGGCAGAGCAGGGAGCCCGATGCAGGACTCTATCCTGGGACTCCAGAATCATGACTTGAGCTGAAGGCAGTTGCTCAACCAACTGAGCCACCCAGGTGCCTCGGTTGGAAGGTTTTAAATGTCATGTTTAATTTTCAGTAATAAATGATTTAGTCATTTGGTCAAAATCTTAAAAGGCTAAAAAAATGGATAAGAAACACACAAGTAAAAAAACAATTTTAAGTTAAAGAAAAAGATAAAGAAACACACGTTATTTTTCACAATTCAAACCTTATTTGACAGTTTTATCAATTAAAATCATGATTAATTTTTTGAAGATAAAACATTAAATTGAAAAAAAATTAAATTGAATACTAAACATTGGTTTAAATTTTTCACTTGTCATTTTATTGTTTTTTTTTTTAAATATTTGTTAATTTATTTCTTTGAGAGAGAATGAGTGAGAGAGAGCATGAAAGAGAAGGTCAGAGGGAGAAGCAGATTCCCCAAGGAGCTGGGAGCCCAATGCGGGACTTGATCCTGGAAGTCCAGGATCATGACCTGAGCTGAAGGCAGTTGCTCAACCATCTGAGCCACCCAGGCACCCCCACTTGTCATTTTAAATGGAATATCATTATTTGGAGATTCCTGATCAATGAAGAAGAAATAGTAGCTTTCAGAACCAGCAGTTTTCCTTGACTTATGGCTTATTTTTATGATCCCTTGAAATCAGAGCTTTAGTATAATGCCAAGGTTTTATCTGAGAGATTTAATTAAATATACTTCAATGATGAAGACTGAGCAACATAAATGACTTCTAACTTTGTGTTCTGGCAGGGATCTTCCAAGTAACAGTCTTATAAATAGCTGTTAATTTTATTAAGATTTAGAAGTTGATATCCAAATAGTGATATTATTGAAAGATATTGAAAGCTTTTGCTTTAAAGTAAGTTTCTAATTCCTTAGGATTTGGAGGGAGTAGGTAGAGAGTAAGAAGGATAACTGTACAGCTCACTCAGATACTAAATCTAGAGCCAGTTTATCATAATTCATCTTCGGTTTTACTCAGCTGAGTATATATCCTTAACACAAAAGTAATACAGATTAAATAATATAAAGTATGCAGTGTAAGCTGTTAACAGTTCCTTGAGCATATTTCCAGGAAGTTTTCTATATCTAGTAGGCACAGGTAGACAAGAGGGTACACTCTAGAAAGATGGCTCAAAGACTCTGTGATATAGGTTTAGGACCCAAGGATAAAGTATAGTTGACCCTCGAATAACTCAGGTTTCAACTGTGCAGGTCCACTTATATGCAGATTTTTTCCCCAGTAAATATAGTGTATTTCTCAATGATTTTGTTAATAGCCTTCTTTTCTCTAGCCTACTTTATTGTAAGAAAACAGTATATAATCATATACAAAATACATGTTAACTCTTTATGTTATTGGCTAGGCTTCTGGTTAATAGTAGGCTATCAGTAGTTGAGTTTTGAGGGAGACAAAAGTTCTATATGGGGGGCACCTGGGTGGCTCAGTCGGTTAGGCATCTGCCTTCAGCTCAGATCTTGGTCCCAGGGTCCTGGGATTGAGCCCCATGTCGGGCTCCCTGTTCTGTGGGAGGCGTGCTTCTCCCTCTTCCACTCCCCCTGCTTCTGTCCCCTCTCTCGCTGTGTCTCTCTCTGTCAAATAAATAAAAATCTTAAAAAAAAAATCTATGTGGATTTTCAACTATGTGTCATGGTCAGTGCCTCAACCCCCACATTGTTCAAGGGACAACTTGTATTGATGTGCATTCTCTTGGTTTCGGCTTTGTAAGGAGTGATTAATTGGGTAAGTGTGTAAAATAGTTGAGAGCATATACTTTTCTCTAACTGATTTTAGCTATGTGGAAAGGTTTAGGAGCTTGGAGAAATCATATCTCAATTTTATTTTACAACAAGGCTAAAGAAGTTAAGTGATTTACTCAAGGTCACACAGCTAGTAACTGACAGCTTGCAACATAGATTGCTCCCAGACCTGTGGGTTTTTTACTCCACTATTTCTTCCCCTATAAATCTTAATCTATATTTTAACCAAACATATTTGTACTTGACCTAAATGCTGCTTGGTAATAGCAAACTTATAGTAAAGACTGTTCTAAGTTTCAAAGATTATTTGGCATGAATGGAAGTGAACACTATTTAAAAGTTGTTTGGCGGTGCCTGGGTGGCTCAGTTGGTTAAGCAACTGTCTTCAGCTCAGGTCATGATCCTGGAGCCCTGGGATCGAGTCCCACATCAGGCTCCCAGCTCCATGGGGAGTCTGCTTCTCTCTCTGACCTCTCCCTTCTCATGCTCTCTCTCTCTCTCTCAAATAAATAAATAAAATCTTTAAAAATAAATAAATAAATAAATAAAAATAAGAGCTGTTTGGCATAAACTATCAGTACCATTATTCTTCACAAATTCAGTTTGATATTTGGATGATTAAATATGTCTATCTTATTTACCTTGTAGATTTTCTGAATTTGCTTAAAAGTTCTTCCCTAGCCCTTACATAATACACAGACTTCACATGTTTGGGGTTTTTTTTCCCTCCTTCACTAAAATGTAATTTCCAGGCAGTAGTACTTTATCCATTTTAATCATCACTGGAACCTGAAACGGTGCCTGAAACTTTGTAAAGGATCATAAATATATAATGAGAATGTAGGAAGGAAAGACAGGATGACCTCTCTCAAGCCATTTAATATTGTTTACACATCCATTAAAGATATAGTTGTGGGTTCTGGGACATAATAGTATAGATTTATTTTTCCCTGTCCCTCCCTTCTAAATCTACCAAATTACCTGGGAAATAATTGAGCAATCATAAAAGCACTTTGAAATATAGAGAGAAGAAAGTGGACTGGCTAGGGACCATAGAACTTGAAGATTGACACCAAGTGAGTTTCCTGGGTTTTCTTTAATCTACCTTTTTTCTGAATTGGGCACCAGAGAAGTCTGCAGCTCAGAACTGGCAACAGGCACAGAGAGAAAGAATAAATCAATAAATAAGCGTGAGTAGCCTGCTCTTGAAAACTAGGAAAAGCAAAGACTGGCAGAGTCTTGGTGGGATGACTTATACCTAGTGACAGCAGCTGATCCACTAGCAAAATCTGGGGGCTGACTCATCCCCCACCCACATGTGTAGTAGCAACAGCAGAACTTGATACGGTCGACCCACTGCATGCCTCACACCTGCCAAGTAGCCATGGGCCTGATCTACTAATAGTAAAACCAAAGAGGGCCCAATACAGGTTTCGCATAAACCAGAACCAATAGATCAGTCTGTCTTATATCACACCAAAAAAAACAACTTTTTTTTTTTTAAGATTTTATTTATTTGACAGAGAGAGATCACAAGTAAGCAGAGAGGCAGGCAGAGAGAAGGGGGGAAGCAGGTTCCCTGTTAGCAAAGAGCCTGATGTGGGGCTTGATCCCAGGACCCTGAGATCAGGACCTGAACCAAAGGCAGAGGCCTAACCCACTAAGCCACCCAGGCGCCCCTCTAAAATACTTTTAAATACCTGCCTTGTACATGATCTGAAGTTTTTTCTCAGTCAAAATTGGATTGTGAGTTGCTTGAATCTAGGTGAAAATAGGTCTGAAAATTCATGAGTAAATGACCCATTTTTCAAAGTAATAAAGTATAGAATATCAGAAGTTAAATGAGCACTTCCCTCTCCCTGAAGATAATCAGTTCCCACAGGAGTTGTTTTTAGCCAGTTAGCTAGTAAGACAAATTGAAGACCAGAATTCAAATATTTTAAAATCAAATTATTACAAAGATAGCTATCCTGTTCATATACCATGTGCCATTTTAAAGTCCTCTTTGGGGGCGCCTGGGTGGCTCAGTGGGTTAAAGCCTCTGCCTTCGGCTCGGGTCATGGTCTCAGGGTCCTGGGATCGAGCCCTGCATCAGGTTCTCTGCTCATCAGGGATCCTGCTTCGCTCTCTCTCTGCCTACTGCTCTGCCTGCTTGTGATCTGTCTCTCTCTGTCAAATAAATAAAATAAAATCTTTTTTAAATAAATAAATAAAGTCCTCTTTAGAGCCAGTATTTCTTCTCGGTATTAAATTAAGAAGTTTAACAGCTATGCCTTCTGGGGAATTTGTGTTTTTCTCTGTAGGGTTTCAGAGTAGTGGTAAACTCTTAGGTCAGAATTTGGCTAGGATTCTGTTCAGAAGACTATCATTAGTGATACCAGTAGGCTGCACTAAGTGCCAGTTTCACAGATGTTAGACAAAAAAGAAGTCAAAGAAAAGGAATCAAGGACAAAAAATAGATATAATGAAATGGTAGAACCTACCTTATCTGCTATGGATTACCTGTCCTTAGTGTAAATCTGTAACTATTTCTGCAAACTGGAGTAGAAGAAAGTGGAAAATACTTGCTGGTTTTGCTTTGGAAATTTAATTGATAAACCTAAAATAGTTTTTAAATTTCTGAAATGAAAAAATTATTTAAGTCCTGTCTAAAAGGGAAATGTGCTGGGATACCTGGGTGGCTCAGTAGATTAATCTTCTGCCTTTCGCTCAGATTGTGATCCCAGGGTTTTGGGATTGAGCCCAGCGTCAGACTGGGGCTTGGGCTCCCTGCTCAGCGGGAAGCCTGCTTTTCCCATGCCTACTGCCCTTCCCCTTCCCCTTCCCCTGCTCATGTTCACTCTCTTGTTCTCTCTCTTTCACGTGTTCTCTCTCTCTCTCTCTCTCTCTAATAAATAAAATACTTTTAAAAAATAAAAATGAAAAAGAAATGTACTCATGTCAACTTAGCATATAGAACTTTTCTAAGACATTAAGCTAGAAAAGCAAAGTCTATCTGGTTACTTGGCGGCATATTCTAATGAGACACTTGAGTTTTGTAGAGGAGAGAAATGTTCAGACAATCCTATAGCCCTTAAAATGTTTTTGACTTTATGTGGCCAGGCAACCATATGCTAAGAGGAGAGTTGTAGTTGAGTAGCTTTACCCTGGGTATTTCTAAGCTGTATCCTCTTAATATATTGTGGAAATGTTGCTTAATGTAATTCATGGTATTTTGAAAGGACCCTAAGGAATATAGCTTGATAATTGAACTATGTAAGTTTGTTGATACTTAACCCAGTCTCATTCAGGCTCCTATCAGAAGTTACATCAAGCCTCTACTGCTTCAAAAAAGGGAGGACACATTTTGATATACCAGTTTTATATCTCATGCTGCCAGCATAGCATCAAAAAGTATACATTTAAATCATGACAAAGAGTCAGCATATCATAGAATGAAATAGTTGATGATGTTAGTGATTTTAAACTTTTCTTTCTTTTTGTGTGTGTTTGTATACAGCAATGAAAACTACTGGTTGTAACTTAGATAAGGTAAATATTCTTCCTAATGCTCTGATCACTCCACTCATATCAAGCAGTATGATTAAGAGTGAAGATGTTACTCCAATGGAAGTAACAGCAGAAAAAAGATCTTCCCCTATTTTTAAGGTGAGTTACATTGTTTAGTACCCCACATCTTCATCTCAGTTATAAAAATTGCTAGTTTGATTTCTTTTCTCCATGTTTGCGCTTTTTACTTTTCCTGTTTATTTCACATGTGTTTCTATTTAGATGCAGGTAATGAGTTTTGCTTTTCAGAGTGATTTAACATGCTAATAAAATAGCCTGCAAAGTGACTTCCAATATACCTTGGAAAGGGAAGAATTAATATTAGCTAGACTTGTGGGGTATGGAGTATTAATGAAAGTGTAGGTGTAGTATTTTCAGAATTGGAGACATTTTTTTCCCCCAGTCTTTTTCTGTAACTCCCTTTCCCTTTTTCACTTATTCTTTTCCCTCCAAAATATTAAAGATGGAAGTATTTTTAAATTTACTATTAATTCATGAATAGAATTAATGTGTTCTTCCTGTCCTAAGCACATCAATAACTGATTATTTTTTGTTTGACTGTTAGTTTAGTCAAACTGATTAGTTTTTAGTCAAAACTGATTTAGTCAAAACTGATTAGTTTTTGTTTGACTATCTGTGCTTATAACATTTATTAAAAAGATATCCTAATGACAGATATCATGGTATCATCAGAGAATCCTAGTCTTACCTGTTTTCTGAAAAAATAAGGTAGAGTGGAAAATTGGTCCTGTATATACATATGTTTTTAGAATAATAATTTTTGAAGTATCTTATGAGTTAATTTAATATTTATATAGACACATTATTTGGGGATTTTTATTTTTTAGACTACAAAGACAGTTGGATCAACTCAACAAACATTAGAAAATATCTCTAACATAGCAGGAAATGGGTCTTTTTCATCGTCATCCTCTTCCCACTTACCTTCTGAAAATGAAAAGCAGCAGCAGATTCAGCCTAAGACATACAACCCAGAGACCCTGACAACTATCCAAACACAGGACATTTCACAGCCTGGTACCTTTCCAGCAGTTTCTGCTTCCAATCAGTTGCCCACCAGTGATGCACTACTGCAGCAGGCAACCCAGTTTCAGACCAGAGAAACCCAGTCTAGAGAAGTGCTACAGTCAGATGGTACAGTGGTTAATTTGTCACACCTGACTGAATCATCCCAGCCACAGCAGCAGTCACCACTACAAGAACAAGCGCAGACTTTACAGCAGCAGATTTCATCCAATATTTTCCCATCACCGAATAGCGTGAGTCAACTACAGAATACGATTCAGCATTTGCAAGCCGGAAGTTTTACAGGCAGTACTGCCAGTGGCAGCAGTGGGAATGTTGACTTGGTCCAACAAGTTTTAGAGGCACAACAACAGTTATCTTCAGTTTTATTTTCTGCTCCAGATGGTAATGAGAATGTTCAAGAACAGCTTAGTGCAGACATTTTTCAGCAAGTCAGTCAAATTCAAAATAGTGTAAGCCCTGGAATGTTTTCCTCAACAGAACCAGCAGTCCATACTAGACCAGATAATTTAATAGCTGGAAGAGCTGAAAGTGTTCATCCACCGACTGAAAACACATTATCCAGTCAGCAGCAGCAACAGCAACAGCAACAAGTGATGGAATCATCAGCTGCGATGGTGATGGAGATGCAGCAGAGTATTTGTCAGGCGGCTGCCCAGATCCAGTCTGAGCTATTTCCTTCCCCTGCGTCAGCAAATGGGAACCTTCAGCAATCTCCAGTTTACCAGCAGACGTCTCACATCATGAGTGCGTTATCTACCAATGAGGACATGCAAATGCAGTGTGAATTGTTTTCTTCTCCACCTGCAGTTTCTGGAAATGAAACTACTACAACCACCACACAACAGGTTGCAACCCCTGGCACGACCATGTTCCAGACATCAAGTTCAGGAGATGGAGAAGAACCTGGAGCACAAGCAAAGCAGATTCAGAACACTGTCTTTCAGACCATGGTCCAAATGCAACATAGTGGGGACAGTCAATCTCAAGTCAACCTTTTCTCATCTACGAAAAGTATGATGAGTGTGCAGAATAATGGTACTCAGCAGCAAGGTAATGGTTTATTCCAGCAAGGTAATGAGATGATGTCACTCCAGTCTGGGAATTTTTTGCAGCAGTCTTCTCATTCACAGGCTCCACTTTTTCATCCTCAAAATCCTATTGCTGATGCTCAGAACCTTTCCCAGGAAACTCAAGGTTCTATTTTCCACAGCCCAAGTCCTATTGTCCACAGTCAGACTTCTACAACGTCCTCTGAACAAATGCAGCCTCCAATGTTTCACTCTCAGAGTACCATGGCTGTGCTCCAGGGCTCTTCTGTTCCTCAAGACCAGCAGTCGGCCAACCTGTTTCTTTCCCAAAGTCCTATGAATAATCTTCAGAGTAACACAGTAGCCCAAGAAGAACAGATTTCATTTTTTGCAGCTCAGAACTCCATTTCTCCACTTCAGTCAACATCTAACACTGAGCAGCAAGCTGGTTTCCAACAGCAGGCTCCAATATCACACATCCAGACCCCTATGCTTTCCCAGGAACAGGCACAACCCTCCCAGCAAGGTATGTTCCAGCCTCAAGTGTCGCTGGGCTCCCTGCCTCCTAATCCAATGCCTCAGAACCAACAAGGAACAATCTTCCAGTCTCAGCACTCGATAGTCGCTATCCAGAGTAACTCTCCGTCCCAGGAGCAGCAGCAGCAGCAGCAACAGCAGCAGCAGCAGCAGCAGCAGCAGCAACAGCAGCAGAGCATTTTGTTCAGTAATCAGAACACCATGGCCACGATGGCGTCTCAGAAGCAGCCACCACCAAACATGATGTTCAACCCAAGTCAAAATCCAATGGCTAACCAGGAGCAACAGAACCAATCCATCTTTCACCAACAAAATAATATGGCTCCAATGAATCAAGAGCAGCAGCCCATGCAATTTCAGAACCAGCCTCCAGTTTCCTCTCTTCAGAACCCAGGTCCTACCCAGTCTGAGTCGCCACAAACCTCCTTATTCCATACCTCTCCTCAGATTCAGTTGGTCCAAGGGTCACCCAGTTCTCAAGAGCAGCAAGTAACACTGTTCCTCTCTCCAGCATCCATGTCTGCTTTGCAGACTAGTATGAACCAACAAGACATGCAGCAGTCTCCTCTTTATTCCCCTCAGAACAACATGCCTGGAATCCAGGGAGCCACATCTTCACCTCAGCCACAGGCGACTTTGTTTCACAACACTACTGGAGGCACGATGAACCAACTACAGAATTCTCCTGGCTCATCTCAACAGACTTCCGGAATGTTCTTATTTGGCATTCAAAATAGTAAGAAACTCTTTCTGATTTCTTATTTCTTAAATGTTACTAGTTGAAATGGTCAGATCATTATTATTTTTATTAAAAGGAAGCAAAACACAGGGGTCTTAAGAGCACAGAATATACTTAAAACTGAGTTCAAGTCCCAGCTATACCACTTATATACTATGAGATCGTGGACAAGTTATGTGACCTGCAAAAGCTTCAGTTTCCATATCTTAAATGGTGATAATATTATGTACTTACTCAAAAAGGATATTGGGAGGACTAAATGTGGTCATGAATGTAAATGAATGTGTTTGCCATTTTAATCTATAAACTTGAAAGGAAAATGAAGTAAGAATGACAAAATGTCTCTGCCAATTAAAGCAAGTAGTTTCCAAGGAGGTAGAAACTCATCTTTAATGTTTATATACCAAGGAAAATGTGTAGGCCTTAAGATTAACGAAGCAAAGTTTTATTTGTATATCACTTAGAGGAGACCTGGGATGAATTCTAGTACCGTTTGGTGAAAACCTTTTTGGGGGGCTGTCACGTGCCTCCCTTCTGGTTCTTTTTTAAATAAGTACAATTATGAATTTGCCCCGGCAACTAATAAATATCTTCTTATGAATCCTAACAGAAAGTAACTAATCAGGTAGCTTCTCTATTTTAAATGTCTCTGCAGACTGTAGTCAGCTTTTAACTTCTGGACCAGCTACCTTGCCAGATCAGTTGATGGCCATAAGTCAGCCAGGCCAACCCCAGAATGAGGGCCAGCCACCTGTGACAACACTTCTTTCTCAGCAAATGCCAGAAAATTCTTCACTAGCATCCTCTATAAACGCCAACCAGAACATTGAAAAGATTGATTTGCTTGTTTCATTGCAAAACCAAGGGAACAACTTAACTGGCACCTTTTAACTGGATGAGTAAGTATTGCATTTTGGCTTCTTTTTTATTGAAAAGCATCGATAAATTGTATTATTCTGATATAAACTGTATCAGATTTGGGTTTAAGTAATAACACTCTTTAGACCCTACTCTTTTGAAATACGACTTTCTCACAAGATGGCACTTTTTTTAAAAATTTTTATTTATTTGATAGAGAAATCACAAGTAGGCAGAGAGACAGGAAGAAAGAGAGGGGGAAGCAGGCTCCCCGCTGAGCAGAGAGCTCCGAGATCATGACCTGAGCCGAAGGCAGAGGCTTAACCAACTGAGCTACCCAGTTCCCAAGATGGCACTTTTTTTGATCTGCATAAGTTACCCTGAATGATAGCTCGTAGTTGTATTGTTAGTACTAGGCTATCCTTCTGGTGCTAAGTTTCTTTGCTGTGGAATGACAGAATATCTAACGAATGTACTATATATTGGATATAATTACATCTCATTTCTCCCTTCCTCAAGAAATACAGACTAAGTTAGAAAAGTCTATGGAAGTATAAATATAATGGAGTATCATTTATAGTACTAGAATATACTTTGGGGACATCCAACTTTGGGGACATTGGGTAATGTCCCATTACCCAATGGACATCCCATTGGGTAATGGGAAATTTCTAAATGATTTCACTCCCTAGTGAGTTATATTCAACTTCTCCTTCTTTTTTAGAAATTCCATGAAGAAAATTCTGATTCCAAGATGTCCTGAGAACATGTGATTCCATGAGGATTTTTGAACTGTTACTTTAAAAACAAAACGAAGTATGAAAAACTGTGATTGAGTAAATGGGTAGATTTTACTCTTACTGCAAAAGAGCACATCAGTGCTGCCTGTTGCAGTGATTAGCCACCGTTGGTAACGTCTTCATATTTTATATTCCTAATAACAGTGATGACTGAGAATCTATTTAAGTTTCCAGCTGACAGAATTAATTGTTGCTATTTTCCGAGGCACTGTTTCTTTAAAAGTACAGTTTAAATCCAAAAGCTGGACTGCTCAGTTATTATTGCTATTAGAAAGTAATTCATAATGTCATGTTTACTTTCATTCTTTTTTCATTTTTCATATTTTATTTCCTGCATTGTTTTAGTCAAGTAATGGCTTTTAAAAAAGGAAAGTTCAAATAGTAACGAAAACTAAGGCTGTGATTTTTCAATATAAAAAGCACAGCTATTGGCCAAAGTGAAGGAATATTTTTTCAGCTTTTACGGAGAAACTGAAGGGGTAACATTCTGATAAGTAAGCTGTATTAAGAGCTCTACACAGATAAGAGGCTTCTTTATCACAAAGGCAGACAACACACAAACCGAATGCTATCAATTTTATTTTTCAGAGAGTTGTTAATTCTCTGTGTTTCTCTTAAAGGGTTCAGCCATAACTGTGCATAGAATAATAATTATCTTGCTCTATCAAAAAAATGAAGGGGATAATGTGTGGTAAATTATGTTCTGATATCCTCCTACAGCAGTTAAAACTGACATAGCAATTTGAGTCTTTCTTTTTATCCCAGTCGTGGACCGATGTTCCCTTTTTATATTCATTTATATTCTTCTCCCCCTCTTCTTCACTTTTTTTTAGACAATTAGTAATATACTGTTAGCTTTGTGACCCTGTAACAACTTAAAGGAAGAGGCCATTTTGGTGTGGGGTAACCCAGCAACTCCTGCAGCACAGGTGGGGCAGGGGGCTACCCTTTCAGGAATGAGGGGAGCTGATTCCTGAGAAACAAACAATGCATTTTTTTCCATGAACGGTGCTGTTCTGAAGTCTTCAAATTTTCCCTCTAATAGGAAACAGTGTACATTTTAATTAAAAAAAAAAAAAAGGCAAACTAAAATTTCTTGAAACATCACTTCTCCCTGAACTGCAGTGAGTGTAATTCACTTGTCACCTCAGTGCTTTACAGTTTGAAGTGGTCACTTATCTGATGGTTCCCACAAGCCTTGGGCTTTACAGGGTCATATCATTGACTTAAAATGAAGAATTAACTTGTGTTACATCTATAGAGAGCAAAATTACACACTCCAGAATTTGCAGTTGTAGCATTAGTTATACAGTTCTGGGTGTTCTTGCCACCCATGGGATGCCCACTTCTCTTCTCACTACAACCTGTTGTCTGGACACATGCTTATGTCTTTTTTCCCTTTTGGCATGTAGAAAGCTGTTAATACAGTTTAAGGCCAAATTGTGTGTGGCTTCTATATGTAGATAAGATGTTTTGGTATTCATGTCCGTTTCATTTATTTTTTTAAGTGTACAAAAAAATAGCCTGTTAATTGTTTGTTGAAGGCTACTTTTCTGTTTGTTTTCAATTTTTTTCTGTCCTATACATTTGGTTGACCTTTGTGGAATTGTGGTGTTGGTTTTGTTTATACAGCCAGATTTTTTCCCCCTTTTTGTGGTCTTCCTTAGTTCTTTGAATGTGTTCTTCTAATTTGTTTTTTCTCTTTGTTCTTATATATTCTTTCCTCCACCCCCAACCCTTTCTTTCTTTCTCTCTCTGATTGAGAGGCATTGAATTACGTTTTCAGTAGTACAGGCTTCTTGCCGATATGAAGGGAACTTTTCAGAAAGAGACCTACTCTGGGTCATTTACTTTTGAATACAGTTTTCAATCGTTCAAGTTTTGGATGGTTTATATCTAATGTGTGTTTCATTTTTTTGGAAAGCTATATTTTGTATTTAGGAAATGGTATACTATTTTGCTATTTGTACTGAGTGAGTACATTGGCATAAATATAGAAATTTATATATATACATATATATAAACTATTCTTTTTTTGCCACACATTTTTGTGGTTAAATTTGTGAGTTTGTCTGATGTTCTACCACAACGTGGCGTCTGATAACAGTTGGGGGGGGGGGTTTGTTATGTCTTTATTGAGTATTTAAGTATCTTTTGAAACATATGACCTGTTCATCTGTGGCCATTCCATCAGGCAGTTCCTTGATGTTATTAGTGGGCTAAAGGCAGCTTACTGTGTGTTTGCTGGATCTTTCACTCCGCAAAATGTTAAGAGTAAGGAAACCCATCTAGGCAGTTATGTCAAATGGTGTTTCAAAAGAATGAGCCATTCAGTCCTTGCTCACTATATATTTAATATTTTATTGTTATTGTTATTAATTGGCTTTCTGTATTGTATGCCTTTTATTTATAATGACACTAAAAAAAAAATCCCATGTTTGTAATTTTAATAACATTTTCCCCATCTTGTAATATCCAGAGCTACTTTATAAATTCTCTGAACCAAAAGCATTTTCCTCAATATATCATCTCTCCCCACCCCGTCAGGAAAAATTACCCAATATAGTTCAGGTTATAAGAAGGACAGCCACACAATCCAGTGCTTCAGTTTTAAAATGTAAAACTCTAATTGCAGAGTTATAAAGAGTTAGCTTACCCAGCAGGTATAAAAATAAGAAGTAGAAATAAAATACTGTAAGTTTATTTCTGAGTTTTCTGACTTTTTTTCTAAGAGATTACACAGGAGACTCAGGAAGTCTATTTGTTCACCAAGTTCCAATTAAAATGTTTGTTAACACTGCTCTGTGGATGAAGTGGTGGCAAGAAGACTGGCTTGTGTGCTGACTTCTGTTCTGTTGTTTAGCAAGAGGCTTATCATTGTAAAATGCTGATTGCCAATGCCAAGTCACCAGGGACCAATTTTCTGTTTAATAGTATCTAAGTTTAGAACAGAACATACACCTGAACTGTATAGTGGCTTGATTGGATGGAGGCAGAAAACCCTATTTTTATTTTCATAAATTTTGTGGTTATTTATACAAGGGCTGTGCTATGCTACCATATTCTTATTCAATAATGATAAATTTTTTTTAACATTGTTTAATGTTCCTTACCCCTAAAGGTCAATGTTAAGTACAGCATTCTGAATATTTGGTTTCAAAAAGCATTTCTCTTCTTACTGAAGAGTTAGCTCAGTGGTCAGTGGTTGATACTTGTGCTAATAATACAATTTCCAGATTACTGTTACAAATGGGAGAGATTCCAAGAGCTAGCAAAGGCCTTGGAAGCAACAATTTATTAAATTTATTTATGGCAGAAGGACCTAAATAAACTATGAACCTTTTTTATTCCTTTATATTGTTACATTCAACTGCTCTTGCTTTTAGCAGCTCACCTTAATGCTTGGAGCTTATCTGTGTGTGTGTGTGTGTGTGTGTGTGTGTGTGCGCACGTGCGTGTGTGTGTTGTTCCTTATTGTCATTCCATTATATATCCACACCAACATGGGAGAAGATAAGTAGAAGTCATATTTGCTTCAGAGCTTTATCATGTTACCTTTGTAATTAGAATATTGTGCTGTTATTTAGTGCATATCTGTTTTTACCAGTCTCCCTAGAACAGGTTTTTGAAGGGCTTTATTATAAAAGCAGAATTAGTGAAAGATCTTCCTTACTTTTCTTTTTTGGTAATATTGTGTATATGCTGTAGTTGAGAATTTCATTATAGTGCATTTTTGTCCATCACAACTTCAGTTAATCTGCCTAGGAAAAATAATGTCAAAGGAAATGAGAGAGAAGTTATATCTGAACCCGTCTAGAACTAAGATAATAGTCCTTTTGAACAATTAATTCTAATTCTAATAGCTGTTTCCTAGTTGATTTTTTTTCTAATTAATTAAAAATTATATGAGGCCTGTTAGCTTTACTCTGCTTCATGACCACAGGCTTCATCCCTACTCAGTGCAGCCGTGTTGTATCTGTACAGCTTTGGTTATAAGGAGGGACTCCGTGGAGACAGAAACTATATAGTTCGGCAGCTTTATTAGAAAAATAGCTCAGAGTTCATGCACTGGTAAGTTAGGTTAGTAGAATCTCATAACATATTAAAAAGAGGTTTTCTCCTCTGCTTATTTGTGTCACTGAAACTAAATCATGGACATAATGTTCATAATGCAGAATGCAGTAAATATCAGAGTAACATAGTGTCACTTGTGAATTGTCTCAGTGCTCTAATTACTTCTTTAATCCCATTTTTTTCCATGCCATTCTAGCCTCATTTATTAATAAAATTCTATTTTTATTCCACTTTCAGGAAATTTTTTTAAATTAATATTTTATATCTAAATCAAATGCTTATGGAAAAAGTGCCTTTTTACCATGATAGTGCCCCTTTCTTGTATTTTCATTTTTCACTATTGCCAAAAACAAATACACAAATGATTTCATAGCCCCAACTTCAATTTTTCCATTTAGTCACTCTTTCTCCATTTTTCGATTACTGTAGAAAACAACTTCATAAATTTCTCCCTTTGGCCTAAGAGTAACAGAGAAGATACATTGCTAGAATTGTTCCTTTGAGGGATGGTAAGTAATAAATTATAGAATTATACTGTTTTAGCTTTATATAAATTACCTAAATTTATCATCATCTTGATCAACTAATGATAGGTCTTACCTGAATGCTAATGAAAATTTTATTATCTTTGAGACTCCATGTACACAAATAATTGTAGTTAAATTTCAGGAAGGAAGTATTTAAAGCATCTTCTCTGATCTTACTCAGATGGATGAAAATAAATCACTACACATAGTTTAGGTAAAAGCTGGTCACATCAACTTTTCTAACTAGATAAGGCCATGTAATTCATCATAGTGCACCTTTTTCTTGTCAGAACCTTCATAATCTTTATGAAAAATTGTGTTAAAGGAAATAAAGAAGTTATATTGAAATCCCTCTAGAACTAAGGTAATGATTCCTTTCAACAGAATACAGTTGAATTGAGTGTCCGTCTGGTTTTCGTTAATTTTGCCTCTGTTCTAGCTCCTTATTGCAGTGGTGGTGCCTAACAAGAGGGCAGGAGAACAGTAGTTTTGGGATAGAGCTGCTTTCCCTGTGTGAGTATTTCTTTGACTTAGTGGCTCTGAAGACTGCAAACCTTTATGCAATATTCTTAATACCCAAAAGATATTATGCACTTTAATCATTCCAAAGAAGTCAAGAATGCTGTATAGTGATGATTCCTTCTTAATGAATACATCTTAACTCTTTATGTCCCTTTTTATTTTGGTTAGCCAGCTTGGTATAAGTATTATGTGAATATTTTCTAAAATGACTATATAGTAGTACTTAAGACTTTGAAATGTAATTGACTATATGAGGAAATGATTACACTTCAGCAAATCATTTTAGAAATATTAAATGTTCAGCTTGCTAATCTGTATGTTTGAGACTTAATTAAAACCAGGTCTCCTCCAGTATATTTTGTGTCATGTTTATAAGAACCTTGTAGTATAGAGTTTTCTACATAAACAGTATAAACCAGTGGTTTTCAAAGTATGGTCCTCAGCCCACCAGCCAACATCCGTATCACTTGGGAACTAGTTAGAAATGCAAATCTTGGGCCCTGTCAAAGACATATTGAATCAGAAACTCTTGCATGGGACCTAGCATTCTGTGTTTTAACAAGCCTTCCAGGTGATTCTGATGTATGCTCATTGGAAAACCACTGGGGTAAATGTTATACAGTAAGATCTAGAAAGGTTCCCTCCTAGTCATACAAATAGTTGCATATTGTTCTTTATATAAATTCAACTTAACCTGGTTATCCATAATCATTTATTGGCAATGATAATTTATTCTCAGTACTGCCTATAGAAATATAGTATGTTTTATGTACATAAACAGTTTAGTTCTTGATAATTCAGTTAACTTAGTTTGGCATTCTACTACCATTTACTAAAAAGTTTACATTAAATGACTGATTTAAATATATAGGTGCAATCTTCTATATTTCTTTTAATTGTTATGATGTTTAAGTAGCTAAAACAATTGACGGGTGCTAAAGTCTCCTGTTTATCCATGAAATGGGTACATTGTGGGCAGTGATAATATAAGCTTTCTTTTCATTGCCTCTTACTTTACCAGCAGACCACAATTTTGGTCTGGCTAGACCAACTCTCAGAATATCATTCCTTGTATTTATATTTGTATCTGAGATATTAAACAAGATGACTGGCCAGGTCAACAAAGCACCTTATTTAATTTCTTTTTTAAATAGATAAAACTTATTTAAAAGTAGCTTGGTTTGTATGAGAACCGATGCAGTACAGATATAGCTATTCTTGGAACTTACGCTTCAGACAAGCATTATTTACTAAAATAAATATTGGACAAGACAGTGCATTATATAATCTGGGCATTTCTCCTTTCTCAATTGTATGCCTCTGGTAAATATAAAGTAACAAGATAAGTAGATTGATCCAGTCATTTTAATCTCCATGTATATTCAGTACCTCCATAATTATTGCTGTAATCTTCCTTCCACTGTTTACAAATCACCCAATGAATTAACTCACAGAAGAAAAATGCACATTCAAAATAAAAATAATTGTATACTTACTTTATAAATATCACCACTGCTGTCTTTGCTTAATACTAGCAGTGGAAATATAAGTGGCTTACTCTACAAACCTTGGTGCTGGCAATACATAGGCAAACTGTGGGGAGATGCTCTAGGTACATTCCTTCTTTCTTATTCCCTTTCCCCTCTACCCCACTTTATTGCATAATATATTCCTATATCCAAAGAATTCTACCACAATTCTATTTGACTCCAACTTGTAGTATCTCTTCTAAAAGACCTTTGTTTAACCATATCATCCTTGCTCTCTTTTTTCCCCCGGAAGTAATTTGGTTTGAAATAGTTTATAGGGGTTGCTTCTTATTTTAGCTAATGAACCTCAGGACAACACACACACACACACACACACACACACACACACACACACACCATCTCAGATGTTTGAGTGTGGCTTTGGAATCAGACTAATGTGTCCAATAAAGAACTGTCCTGCACTGAAGTGTTTATGACTTTAGTAGCTACAAACTGATTCCAGTGATATTGAGCTAATTTCTTTTGAGCTAATGAATGTATCTGCTCGCCTTGCTCCCTTCTAATTGATAAGCTCCAAGTAGTGGCTACTTTTTTTGGTCAAATTTTACTGAGTTTTATGCACTTCTTTTACTTAGTCTTTTAATTAACATAGTGCAGATATTTCATGAACCTGTTCTCAAGTGCTTTAGCTACCATTCTGCCATTTAAATTTTTTACTTTTATTTTATTTTGCTTGAGCACACTGGTCAACCACTGAACTGCCTTCTTCCATTGTCCTGCAATGATATAAGGATTACATTTTTGTGTATATGGCTTTCATAGTTGGGATTTCAGAGCACTGACACCAGATAGTTTCAGTTTGTTCTGTGGGGGAATTTCATTTGCATCTATGTTTTTAGCTATCTGTGATAACTTGTTAAATATTAAAAAGATATTTTGCTTCTATTGGAACATTTGTATACTCGCAACTATATTTCTGTAAACAGCTGCAGTCAAAAATAAAACATTGAAAGTTTTCATTTTGCAGTGGGTAACTGTCTTTTTTCCTCAAACTTTGTGAATGAATTCATATCCATGATTGTCAGTTTTGAGCAACATGAGTATGTGGCTGAAGTTATAAAATCATTTGGAAAAGGTAAGAACTAAAGATCTATTTTTGAGCATTTACTTTGTGCCTAGTAGTTTTGCCAGCAACATACAAAGTGACTTAGCGTGGTAGCAGATCATGTACCACAGAGGTAATTTTGCTAAAAATGAAATCTCCCCAGCCCTCAGTCAAATATCCAGAGGTAATAATCTCTTTTTGTCGTTCTTCTGCAGTTATTTCCAAATATATAAATTGGTGTTTACCAAAATGTGGTGTATATATAACATACCACTAGCAGTATTTGAAATGAGAAAAAAAATCTATGTGCACCTACTAGACTATGGAGAAATGTAATTGATATTAAACACAAATACAGATGATACGTAGATATGAGTATGATATATAAATAAAAATATATGATATATAAATAAAAAATATATGAAACTTCAGAAGCAGTGCTTTAAATCGTATGTTTATACCTTCTTACCAAATACAGACTGTGTCTATTGATTCTATGAAAGTGACTGAATTTTCAACATACCCAGATGTATATAAACACAAATTGTCATTTTAGGAGACTGTATATATTTCAATAATGCTACCATTGTTCTAAATGTGTTTAAAAGTTTTCTTTTGGTATTTATTGACTTCAGCAGCACTGGAAAGGAGTGATAACGAAATGAAATTCAGTAAGTATAAATATCAAAGAGGGTGGCAGATGGGTTAGATGGGCAATGGGTATCAAGGAGGGCACTTGTTATGATGGGCACTGGGTGTTGTATATAAGTTAGGAATCACTGAATTCTACTCCATAAACCAATATTGCACTGTATGTTAGTGACCTAAAATTTTAATTAAAAAAATTTTTTGAAGTAAAAATAATAAGAGGGTAAAAAAAAAAAAAAAAGTACTTGGATCCAAAACTTGCCTGTGTGGGCAAAAGACTGATCTGAAGTTGAGACTTTTAAGTGGCTGCCAGAAAAGCGGATGCAGTGCTGGGTTACATAATTTGTTACAGTGTCCAGAATAGGGGAAGTGGTTGTCCTGCTTTACTCTAAGCTGATAAGAATACTACTATGTCATGTTTTAAGGAGCAAACACATTCTCAGCAGCCATATAATCAGGCCTGTAAGAGAAATGGAATATCATTTATGCCTGCTCAGGACACAACAGGGACTCTAGAAGTATAAAAGCAGCTACAATTTCTCAACAGCAATGCTTAATGGTCTTGCTCTCAAGAGGAAGTATTGGGGGGTGCCTGGTTGGCTCAGTCAGTTAAGCATCTCCCTTCAGCTCAGGTCTTGATCCCAGTGTCCTGGGATCAAGTCCAACATCAGGCTCCTTGCTCAGCAGGCAGCCTGCTTCTCCATCTGCCTCTGCCTGCCACTCCCCTGCTTGTGCTCGCCCTCTCTCTCTGATGAATAAATAAAATGTCATTAAAAAAAAAAAAAGTATTGGGGTGCCTGGGTGGCTCCGTGGGTTAAAGCCTCTGACTTCGGCTCAGGTCATGATCCCGGGGTCCTGGGATCGAGCCCCGCATCGGGCTCTCTGCTCAGCAGGGAGCCTGCTTCCTCCTCTCTCTCTGCCTGCCTCTCTGCCTACTTGTGATCTTTGTCTGTCAAATAAATAAAATCTTAAAAAACAAAAAAAATGTATTGGTAGCTACTCTTGCTCTCTTTCTTGGTGCCATTGTCCTGCTTCAGCTGAGGCAATACAGTGTAGTACTTGAAAGCAGAGGCTCTTTGAGTTTGCCCACCTCAGTGGAGTTCTGGCTCCTGCACATGTTATTTAACCTCTCCATTCCTCCATCTCCTTACTTATAAAGCAGAAACAAAAATAAAGCCCTTCTCTTAGGGTTATTGCAAGAACGAAGTAAATTAATCCATGTAAAAACTACTTAGTTCCTGGCACACAGTAAGTGCCTAATAAGTGTTAACCTTGTTTTAGTATTACTAGTCCTGATACTACTTAGCTATTCTGCCCTTGTTTGCTAGATCCCAGATCCTTTTGTGCCCCCCTTGTTTTTTTAATCAAAGACATGTTCCTTTAATTGTCTTCTTTCTCCAGCATCAAAATCTTTTCTGAGTCATTCCTACTGGCATATAAATTTGCTGTAATTTCCTTTATCGCTTAAAAAAATAACTTTTTGACCACATAACTCCATACACAAAGTTTCCACTTCCTCTCCTTCCATTCTTTCTTGAACCCATTCCAATCAGGCTTTCATGAAACCACTCTCCTGAAATATCTCTTGTCAAAATCACCAGAATAGCCTCCACCTAGCTATATCCAAAGGTCCATTCTCAGACGTATCCTACTTGGCTTATGAGTAGTATTTGACATACCTGATCACTCCCTCTTTGAAACACTTTCTTTTCTCAGTTTTCAGGACCCTGCAACTCCGATCTCCCGCTCTGCTGGGTACTTTCTTTCATACTCATCTTCTTGACCTCCTAACACTGGAGAGCCCTAGAGGTCCATCATCAGATCTCTTCTCTGTTATTGCAGTGGTAATCTCATCCTTGACGTTGCATTATATACTCTCTCTATGTTGAAGATTTCCATATGTATGCCTCCAGTCATAACTTCTCCCCAAACTCCAGGTACCTATTACCATCTATCTCAAATATAGAATGCCTGAAGTCAAATTCTGATTCACCCTTCCTGACCCCAACTTCTGCCCTCAATATGCTTTCCAGATTCTTGATCATCTTAGCAAATGGAGTTTCCATTCTTTCAGTTGCTTAAGCCAAAATACCTTTGAGGTTTTTATTTGACCTAGATACGATCCTTTATCAACTACTGTTATGCCAACCTTTGAGATACATTGAACCTTATAAATACGTCTTCTACTTGACACCTCTGTTACTCAAAGCATTTATTAAGTAGATTGGCACACTGTCCCATAAGCACAAGCCATGCTTCCATCACTCTTATACTTGATTCCTCCCTACCAGCCAGCATTAAACATGAGTCATATTAGAGCTCTGCCCAAAACTCTCCAGCCACTTTCTATTCTTATATACTTACAGAGCTCGTAAGGCTCTGTGTGAGCTGATTCCAGCTATGTGGCTGACCCAGGCCACTCCTCCTTTCTCTGCTTTAGTCACGTGAACGTCTGTCCTCTCTCTTCCTCACACTGTACATGCTCCTGCCTCAGATATGTGCATTCTGCCATCACTGCTGCCTAGAGTGCCTGCCTTCACGCATCTGCATCTCTCTCTCACTTTATCAGGTCTTTGCTCAAACGGAGCCTTATCGAGGAAGTCTTTATAAAACAAAACTACTCATATCCCATCTCTCTCTTAGCCTGCTCTTTCTTCCTAGCATGAGGTACTTGGTTTTGTTCATTACTGTGCTCCCAGTGCCTAGATGAGTACCTAGCCCAGTGACTAGATAAAATCAGAATAAATCAGGCAAATCACAGTAGATACTGCTGCCCCTAGGCATGTGTTTACTGAATTCTATTTTTTTCGTGATTTCTGTAACATTCTTACCTGGATCTCTCTAAATGTCCTGTAGATTCCCTGCAAGGACCTTAATAGGTTGTTCCATTACCATTCAATATGAAACAGCCTCGTTGGGAGAGCTCTCAAGTCGTATAGGCTTCTGGCCGTTTGTTTTTAAAGATTTTATTTTTAAGGAATGCTCTCCACCCAACATAGGGTGGGAACTCACAACTCTGAGATCAAGAGCTGCATCTCAGACTGAGCCAGCCAGGCACCTGGGGCCATAATTTCTTATTGCATGCTCTAATCCCATCTTCCCTAGTAGATTCCACTTTTGCCTGTATGCCTCTATCAGTAGCTTCACTGAAACCAGTGAGTGGGTCTGTTTATAGAAATGGGTTTTATTTATTTCACTGGGAACTTTTAGGAATTTACACAAAATTGCAGTGAGCATGAAGGTAACAAAAAAATATTTTTCAAACTGAAGCACCTAGCCATATGCCATTGTGTGTATTGTAGAGGGAAAAATACCCAAGTACCTGTCAGCATCTAGCACATGAGGCTCTGGTCTGCCGCCCTCATTTTCTTGGCAGGTCCAGGACCTGTTCGCAGTTTCAGGCAACCTGGCTTTGCCTAATCTCTCCTGTTTTCTTTCAGTGCACCACAAGAGGGTGGCATTTCATCATATTCTTCTTGAGTTATACTGACAGAGAGCCCGACTTTAATAATTGAAATTGGAAGTTGGAATATTAATGTCAAAATTGTTCAGTTAATGAAACTCTAGGATTACAATTTCATCCCCAAAATTGTGGGACCAAAATGCATCCAAAAGGAAAGTCATCAGTTTAGCAATGATAGAGGGAAACCTTCCAGTATGTTATATAGCTCAGAAATAAAATACTATTTGGAGAAGGCTGTTGCTAAGTACCGGGAGTAACTATTTCCTGAATTCATTCATTGCAGCAGATGTAGTGTACAGAGGTGTTGGCTTATTTCTGCAGACATTAAATTAGAAGAGAGAAATAAAAAAGAGACTTCTATTATCTTTTACTTGAAGGTATCTCTAGGTACTGTATACAAACAACAGAGGTTGAAGCAAGAGTAAAACATTAGGCATATTAGTCACTGTGCAGTAATTAAAACCAATACCATAAACAAGCATAGATTACTAACTACTAAACAAGTCCCTTGGGTCAGACAGATTCAGTCATTTCTTTCTCTCAGCAATTCCCTTCTGCCATAAGCCACAGAGAGGTGATTAAAAGAAAAATATATCATTGAAGAGTTGGATTTTGCCTTGCCACATTTGGCCCTAAGAATGTATCCCTAATAAGAGGAATTAAATCGTGTAGAGGACCATAAAGATTATTGTCTGGCATCTTTCTACTTCTTGCCCTGCTTTATAACCTAAGTGGCCTCTTGAGCCTAACCAGATTTTGCCAAGATAGCAATCATAATCAGAAAGAAAACTAACCAAAAATATATTAATACAGTCTATTCTGTTCCCGATTCATTCCCTGTGGAAAAAGAAACCCGTCTTAAGGACTAAAGCAAGTCAAGGAAGTCTGAATAAGAAACCTCAATTTTGCTACATTTTATAAGGAAACCAAGTCTTGTGAATCTCATTTTCTGGCTTTGATCTGGTTGTCAGTTGGGATGGATTTGCCCAAATGATGACCCACAGAAAGGCCAAATTTTTCATTTTTCTGCTCATCCTGCACTTCCTTTTTCATCAAGAATCCTGCCTGGAAGTTTAAGTCAAAGAGGCTACTTGGAGCAAAATACAGTGGAGTCTCATCCCAGATATTCTCCAGGCGTTTCTTCCATCCTTCCAAGATCTGAATTCGGGCATCCATAGGAGTGTGCCCAATGCTGTATGTCAGTTGAGGTTCCAAGACTTGGAAGCCACAGAAATGGAGAGTGCCACTCTGGGGATACACAAAAGCACACAATCATGAGTCACAGAACAAAGCCTACACAGCTTGTGCCATATACAAACAACAAAAGCTAATCTAGGTTTTCCATTAAGACACTTCGATATGGGGACCTGAGCCCTTCTGGAGAATCAATTCATAGTTATTTTCTCTCATCTGCGCTCTATTCCTAGCTGTTACCTATGTTAGCTTATTCAGCTGAGCTCCTTTTTAAATGAATAAAACCTTGAAACCCTGCCAGCCTGGGATCCTCTGCCAAAAATACCGGAAGTTCTATTACATAAGGGAGTTTCAGCTTCTTGGCAGCTGACTTGCCAAGGCACGCAGATGCTCCTTTCTCCGCCTCTCCATTTGACCAGATGAGCCTCCGTAAGTGATTCTTAGAATTTATTCTCCAGTATTAATGGCTCACTCTTACAGATGGCCACCTCATTTGCTCTTCTCTCCAGCCCTCTTCCTTGGAAGAGATTATCTTGATAGTCCAGTGACCAACCCCAAAAAAGCCTACCTCATTCTTCACTTTTGTTCTCACTTCACTCTGGACTAAATCATTTCTTAAAATTTTCTAAGAGTTTGTGAGGCTGTAGCAGCAACTTGGAGAAGGCCAGGAAGCTTGGAGAGAGAGGTCAGTCATCTGGAGAGAATGGGGGCACGTGGCTATATGAATCTAGGGATTACATGCACAAGCCCTTGGTTAGGAGGCAGCAATGTTTGGAAGAAAAATTCAAGTTTTTCTTGCAATAAGGGGGCCTGGGAAGACAAGCAGGGCCTAAAAGGGAGCTAGCTCCCTGTCCCTGGAGTTCTGAATTATTACATTGCTTTCCTCCTTACCCCTCAGGTCTATTTTCAGCAGTGATCTTGAGGATCTGGACCCCACAGAAACCTCAATTAATTAGCCCCCCCCCGAAGGTTCATTGAAAACAAAGTAACCTGAATTGGCCAAAGAATGATATTCATGTCTCCGTGGATACCCTGCAGAGAGTACATGGAGCCGCTGCCACCAGTGGTAACGGAAAGCACGGTCTTCTTATTCTGCAAAAGGCAAGTCATTGTTTCCCTCCACAGCTCCATGGTGACAGGAAGTTAACGAAACAGCCCCTGGGAAAGAACACCCAAGTCCGCCCAGCTGCACATTGACTCCACTGAGCTACTCAGTGGAGTCACAGCCAGGGCTAGCCAAGGACTCCATACTACTGGTGGCAAATTGGGGGAACTACAAAACCAGTGTGGACTGCTGGCGCCCAAGTAGAACTCTATTGTTTCTACCTGTCTCCCCGCAGTGCTACACATGTATTTAGTCATGGAATCCAGGAGGCCTCAAAATATTTCTTGTGTAGTAGTTGGGTCTCTAAAAAACTAAAGATAAACTTTCTTTTTTTATTTTTATTACAGAAAATGTCATACGTAGAGAAAATAGTATAATGATGCTTCCACACACACACACCACCCCCCCAGCTTCAACTCTGAGTATTAGCTATAACTCAAACCCTTGCCCCTTAGGTTCCCGAGCTATTTTATGAGACTGATGTGCTACCTACTGTGCTAAAGAGGCACCTCCCCAGGTTATTTTAAAGCAAGTTCTAAAGTCATGTCTAAATACCTCTAAAAACTTTCTGATCCATCTCTCCCAGGATCTCTCTTCATATCTGTTCAAGACCATGCCTCAGAAGAGTTGACCCAGAATCTAGCTGATAGAGAAAGCAAAACTATCCACCTACCCGGAAAGGTCCCTTGTCATACATGGCAGCATATGTGTAAGCAAACTCCCCTATGAGCACTCGCTCGAACCAGCCTTTCAGGATGGCAGGGACTCCAAACCACTGCAGTGGGAACTGTGGGACAGAGGACAAAGGGGTCAGATCAGAAGGTGGCTCAGGTGCTTAGCTGCTGCCTGGGATGTCACAGGCAAACCTTTCTTGGTCGGGCCCTTGTCATTTCTTCTAGAGGAGTTAGCACATTAAAATTATTGTCCTTGGTCAGTCAACTTGACACTCCTTGACTTGATATCTTTCTCTGATACTTGAATAGTTACTGACCTACAGGAGAAGGGCAAAGGGGGTTGGGTTTTTTTTTTTTTAAAGATTTTATTTATTTATTTGACAGAGAGAGATCATAAGTAGACAGAGAGGCAGGCAGAGAGAGAGAGAAGCAGGCTCCCTGCTGAGCAGAGAGCCCGATGCGGGACTCGATCCCAGGACCCTGAGATCATGACCTGAGCCGAAGGCAGCGGCTTAACCCACTGAGCCACCCAGGCGCCCGGGTTTTTTTTTTTTTTTTAAGGTTTTTATTTATTTTTTAGACAGAGATCACAAGTAGGCAGGGAGGTAGGCAGAGAGAGAGAGAGAAGGAAGCAGGCTCCCGGCCAAGCAGAGAGCCCGATGCAGGGTTTGATCCCAGGACCCTGGGATCATGACCAGAGCCGAAAGCAGAGGCTTTAACCCACTGAGTCAACCAGGCGCCCTGGGAGTTGGGTTTTAAAACAGAAAGAACACGAGATTGTGTTCTCACTCTGATTCTGCCACTGACGTGATGTAAGACCTCTGCCCCATAAGCCCCTTACTTTCCCTAAGTCTCATGTGCCTCACTTGTGGAAAGAGGGGCTTGAGTAATCTCTAGAGGCTTCTTATATTTATGACTCTGCAACAGTGAGGGGCTAGACCTGCAGCTTTTAAGAGAAATGAGTAGGTTGTTTAGACAAGTAGATTTGGTCCCTGTGAATATTCTACAGTCAGAGCTGAAAACAGAATTGCTTGGCTTGCAGGATATTGAGAGTTTATTCTTCCTCTGGTTGTTCGTGAAGAAGTGAAGAAAGTGAGCGAGAGGCTAGCCCACATGGCACCTCGGTTTGAATTAAAGTGTTCCTCCTCAGGACACTATTTCTGTGTTGAAAGACTATCATTCATAGTACACTGATTCTTCTATAGTAAGACTTTGCCTCTCATCCGTTGGTAACATGTTATAATAAATCTACAAATCTGCAGTGTATATACATTGCCCTTTGAGGTTGCTATTTGGCAGTGCACAACCTGCGCAGTTGTACTTGTAGTAAATTAAACTTTCGTGTGAGATAGAAGCTAAATTAAAAATCCCCAAGATCCATTCCAATTCTAAAATATGAGATGCAGACTTGAAAGCTGCTTCTGCCGCTGCCTTGGTTGCACCAGGATACAATGCAGCAGAATACGCGCCCCCAAGAAGGCATTCCACGGGACACTGGCTAATGGCTTGTGGCTTTGATCTATAGCAGCAGGCCTGAGGGTCGAATAAAAGACCTAAAAGTTTGGATTCTTTGCAGCTGATTGAATAATTGCAAAAACCACAGCTGGCGTCACCCTCCCTGTGCTGTTTCTAGTGTCACAGACACCCCATGTTTAGTATCAAAAAGCTGGTTAGAACCGGGAGAAGCAAAGCCACTGAGTCCAGTCTGGAATTTTCAGGATAGAGGCCTAACAAGAAGCATATGCATGTCCAGTACTGACTGCCTAGCAGGGAGACAGCTTCCAGGAGAAGAAAGGCCCCACTCTGCAGCTGGAACACATTAAGCAGGGCAGCGGGCCCTTCAGCTGGAAGGCTCCCAGAGGTCTCTCTCCCATGCTTCCCTCTGCAGACCCCTCGGGGTGCTGATGCAGAAAGGGGGGACAACAGCAAACTGGGAGAAATCCCACAAGGAATCCCTAATTGAAGAAAAGTGCCAGGCTCTGGTGTCATTTCTGTAGCCACTCCTCCCATAGAGGAGTACGGCCAGGTGCACCGGGTCTATCAATCTGTGTAATAGCGCACCTTTGAAGTCATCACCGTTCTTTACAGAGAATGCACTCAAGTGGGTAACTGACTTTCCTAGGATCACATAGCTAACGAGGTGACCGGGCTCGGGCAGTAAGAACTCAAGTGTCCCGACACTTCTTCTGATGTCTGACCACACCTGAAAAATCACAAGGTCCGCGGCTTCCAGCTTCTTTTGTTCCGCCACGATATCCGGGCTCAGACGGCCTTCCTTGTAAGCTAGAACAGACTCGGCAGGATACTGAAAGTTCCCTGGGTCCTTCAGTGTGCCTGCCTCGAGGAAAAAGATAGGTTGGAGCCAAAAGGGCCCAGGCAGGGCCAGAGAACCCACAGCTGAGACATGCCACAGAGACCTCATGAAAGGAGGGAGCTGCTCCTACCTGTGATGTCCTTTCTGGAGATGACAGGATTGAAGTTCATGGCATATAGGTCTGACACAGTGACCTTCCATCCTTTCCTTTTCAAGACCTCCACCGCAGCCTCCTTCATGGCATAGTTGAAGGATGTCTTCTCTGCGTGGGCCAGGACGATCAGTGCTCTTCTGGCTGCTCAGGTACACACAAGTCATATGGAGAAAATCAGTTACCAAGAAGCAAAGCTTCAGCTGCAGGGCAGCCAAGCCAGGATCCACAAGGCAAGAATCAGCTTCAGGGGTGCCTGGCTGGCGCTGTTGGCAAAGCAGGGGGCTGTTGATCTTGGGGTTGTGACTTCAAGCTCCACATTGGGCATAGAGGTTACTAAATAAATAAATAAACTTAAAAGAAAAAAAGGGAGAGTCTACTTTGTTAGGCAGTAGGTGATTCAGTCACCTACTAAAGATGGAATTAACCCCTTAGAAAACTAATATAAGGTGTTAGGAGTCAGGATAGTGGTTCCCCTTGTCAAAGAGTAGTGATGAGAAGGAGCTTTGGGGGTACTGGCAATGTTCTATTTCTTCATCTGGGTGCTGATCCCACAAGTCTGTGACAAGCCACTTCGAATTTGTGCACTTTTCAGCGCGTCTATTATATTCAATACGTATTTTGAGTGCGTTTTTTTTTTCCCAGTATCCCACAAACACACAACATAGAGCAATAAATTCCTGGCAGAGTAAAGCTCTAAGGGGAGAATTTGTATAACCTCAAGATAGAGAATATTTTTAAGAAAGACTAGAGATTCAGAAACCATGAAGGAAAAGCTTGCCAGATAAAGCCACATGAAAATTAAAAATTTGTGTGTACCAGAAGGCACCATAAACAAAGTCAAAAGACAACTAGCTAGGAGAAGGTATCTGCAACTCTTATCACAAAGGGTTAAAATCCCAAAGAATGCCTATAAACGGAAAAAAACAATGCAACAGAAAAATAAGGCCACTGCTGCTATACAAGGAGGAAAAAATGCCAATGACAAAAAACAAATGAGCAAGTGCCCTGCCCAGCACTTTAGGGAAGTGCCCTCTGGAAAAGCACATTAAAATGAGATATTAGGGGCGTCTGGGTGGCTCAGTGGGTTAAGACTCTGCCTTCAGCTCAGGTCATGATCTCAGGGTCCTGGGATTGAGCTCCGCACCAGCACCAGGCTCTCTGCTGAGCAGGGAGCCTGCTTACCCCACCCCCTCTGCCTGCCTCTCTGCCTACTTGTGATCTCTCTGTCAAATAAATAAATAAAATCTTAAAAAAAGAGAGAGAGAGAGCTATTATTACTTACCCATCAGATTGGCAAAGCTGTGGCACCAGGCTGGCTCAGTCCGTGGAGGGTGCAAGTCTTGATCTCAGGGTTGTCAGTTCAGGCCCCAAGTTGGGTGTAGAGATTACTTATAAATAAAATCTTAAAAAAAAAAAAAAAAAAAAAAAAAAGATTCGCAAAACAATTTAAGACAAGGAATACTGAGGTCTATTAAGACTGCAGGAAGACTGGCATGTTGCTGGTGAGAATACGAATTGCATCCACCTTTGAGGAGAGTAATCAGGCTGAATCTTTTAAAATTGTAAAAAGACACATAAATCTTTGGGGCACCTGGGTGGCTCAGTTGGTTAAGTGACTGACTCTTGATCTCAGCTCAAGTCACCATCTCAGGGTTGTGAGATCGACCCCTATGTCGGCATGGAGTCTGCTTAGGATTCTTTTTCCCTCTCCACCTTCCCTCTCTGTTCACTCTCTCTCCAAAAAACAAAACAAAACAAAAAACAAACGCATAAATTTTTGATCTAGCTCTCCATTTTGGGGAATCTGTTTTACAGACTAAAAGCATCGGGACATAAGGATACAGGAACAAGGATGTGTATTGTTTTATTCTTTTCATCAGCAAAAATTGGATACAACCTATTTATGGGGAGTATTTGAATAAATTACGGTATATATAGACCAAAGACTAGTATGTTGTTAACAATTAAGAGTTAACTATATATAGTCACCCAGAAAAAAGATATCCGTGATATACTGTTAGCTCATAAAATGAAGTAAATGTGAACCCATTTTTATAAAAGACAAAGAAAGAGGGGCATCTGGTTGGCTCAGCCGGAGCTTGCAACTCTAGATCCTGCAGCTGTGAGTTTGAGGTCCATGTTGGGTATAAACATTACTTTAAAAAAAAAAAAAAAAGACAAAGAAAGAAACTACATATATGTGTGGGTAGATTTGCAGCATATAGGTATGAGGGGAAGTTAGTTTTTTTAGCTAAGAGATGACAGGGAGATAGAGACAGAGGGGAAAGATTTACTTCTTTTTCTTGGACCTGTATTAATAAAATTGTTAGAACAAGAATGCTATGGTCTTACAAGAACAGCATTTTAATTTCTTTTTTTTTTTTTTTTTAGGATTTTATTTATTAGAGAGAGAGAGAGGGTATGAACGGGGGAGGAGGGTCAGAGAGAGAGAGGGAGAAGCAGGCTCCTTGCTGAGCAGGGAGCCCGATGTGGAGCTTGATCCCAGGATCCCGGGATCACAACCCCAGCCAAGGGCAGATGCTTTTTTTTTTTTTTTTTTAAGATTTTATTTATTTATTTGACAGATGGAGATTACAGAGAAGCAGGCAGAGAGAGAGGAGGAAGCAGGTGCCCCGCTGAGCAGAGAGCCTGATGCAGGGCTCTATCCCAGGACCCTGGGATCATGGCCTGAGCCGAAGGCAGAGGCTTTAACCCACTGAGCCACTCAGGCGCCCCAAAGTTCTATTTATTTTAAAGTCATCTCTATACCCAAGGTGGGGCTCGAACTCACGACCCAGAATCCCGAGCTCCTCCAACTGAGCCAGCCAGGTGCCCCTTTTCCTTCTTTATTTTAACTGAAGTATATTTGACACACAACGTTACTTTGATATCAGATGAACAACACGGTGATTCTGCATGTCTGTACATCAGGCTGGGCTCACCCCAAATGTAGCTACCACCTGCCATACCCCACCACACTGTTATAACACTACTGATTATATTCCCTGTGCAGTACCTTTCACTCCCCCCGCCACTGCCCCCCACCCCGACTTATTCATTCCATAACTGGAAGACCGTGTCTCCCACTCCCCTTCACCCATTTTGTCCTTCTGCCCATCCCACTCCCCTCTGGCAAAGTCCCTTTGTTTTTTTGTATTTATGGGCATATGTCTTCTTGTTTGTTTGTTCATTCATTGTTTGGGTCTTTAGATTCCACATACAAGGGAAATACTATTTGCCTTTCTCTGCAAGAATACCATTAATGGGTGCTTACTATGTGCTAGGCACTGCTTGGAGTGCTTTGCATTTTGCAGTTGTCCTGGCAATGCTGAGATAGCTACAATGAGTATCCTCATATAGATGGGAACACTGAGGCACAAACAAGTCAAGAAAGTTAGCATAGTGAGGGGTGAAACTGGAGTATTATTTATTTATTTGAGAGAGAGCACACGTGAGAGCAAGAGAGAGACTGAGAGAATGAGTGAAAGGAGGGGCAGAGGGAGCCCGACATGGGACTCGATCCCAGGACTGTGGCATGAACCTGAGCTGAAGGCAGATGCTTCACTGACTAAGCCACCCAGGCGCCCCTGAAACTGGAGTAATTTTAAAATATATAGACATAGGGGCGCCTGGCTGGCTCAGTCGGGGAAGTTAGGGTTCTTGATCTCATGGTTGAGACTGCAAGCCCCACGCTGAGTATAGAGATTATTTTTTTTTTTAAAGTACACACACACACACGCTCCATATATATATGGAGAGAGAGAGATAAATCTACACAACCGCATGCAGGCAGCAGCGGGGGAAGGGCCAGAGAATGGAACAGAATGGAGGATCCCACCACCACCACGGCTCCTAGTAACTGGGATCACTACCTGGTTTCTCACCGCTCCCAACAGTTGTGCCCACGGCTGGAGCTCCAATGGGCGCAGGTGCTTCGGGTTACATTCAGGCAGGCGTCAGCTTCCCGCCCCCCACCCTCGCGAGAGCTGCGTCGCCATGCTTGCTCGTGGCGTTTCAGACTCTGAAAACTACGAGGTGGCAGAGTTTAAGTTTGATAAGGCATTTAAATGCTATGAAAGTGGTTTATCTGCTTTGGATGGCCGGGGTGGGGTCGGGGGAAGAGCTCCTGGGTCTGCCTCAACAAGCTCTTACCCCCAGCCTTTCTTTTTTTTTATCAACTCCAGGACTTCCCATTCTTAGGAGAAATGTGAGTACCTTAAGTTCCGACGAGCATTTGCTCTGTGACTTAACTTTGCATTAGTTATATCAGTGTTTACTGAATACTGCTTTGTCAGTTTTTTACTCTCTTGGCTTCCTACCTATATATAAATATTTTTTTAACTTTTTTTTTTTAAAGATTTTATTTATTCAGTTGACAGAGATCACAAGTAGGCAGAGAGGCAGGCAGAGAGAGAGAGAGGAGGAAGCAGGCTCCCTGCTGAGCAGAGAGCCCCATGCAGGGCTCAATCCCAGGACCCTGAGATCATGACCCAAGCCAAAGGCAGAGGCCTAACCCACTGAGCTACCCAGGCGCCCCATTAACTTCTTATCAGTGTCAGTATCAACAAGCATTTCCTAAGTAGTAGAATATAAAGGTACTTCATGTAAAATGAGAAAATCAGGCTATCTACCCTTTCGCTGATGAGTAGCTCATCAGCTTCTAGCTACAGGACGCCTGATACCTTCAAATACAAGCGATGTGAGAGACAAGACACAAACAGGACGGACATATTTGCGAGAAATAGAACCAACGAAGTTCAGTATCTGGAATATATTGATTCCTGAAAACAACGCCGTAGGAAAATTGTAAAAGGTTCTGCACACACAACACTGATTTGCAGTCCACAGAGTAGTTGTGATGCTTTGCCAGAGGGAAAGGGTAAATGGGAGAATGACTACCCCACATCATAACACCAAGTCACTCGTTGCCAGTCCTTTTCCATGGACAAACCTGCGGTCTTTGGACTTGAAGGGTCCAGTGGCCCTTCCTGCCACTTAACTAGCTGTATGACAAGCTTGATTTTCTCAGGATTTACCCTGAGAAGGGAACTAAGAAAGACACGCAGAAAACTAACGGCGTTAGCCTGACAGGGGAGACGAGGGACAAAATTCCTGAGGAAAACCGTTCATTTCAGGGCTGGCCGATGAGGAAAGGCTTCAGAGGAGCTGCCGTTGCAGAAGAGGTTTGAAAGACAAATGGGGCTTTCTAATTTAACGTTCATATCTGTTTGCCAGGCACACCATTGACCTAACAGAAGCCATTGCTTATCCCACAGCTGAGCCTGTCCTTGTTAATGCAACTCTTCAGATTTCAGCCCCTGCTTGAAATACGCTCCCTGTTTCTGTCCTTTTCTGTGTTCTCAAATCCCTTGTTCCTTCCCCGCCAGCTTTTGCGTTCTCTATCCACCCGAGCCAACTTTTTCTCTCCCTGTGCAATGCTCATGTTCTAACTCATCCTCTCAGCCTCTCCACCAGGCTTGAGTGAGTACCTCCTACCCACTGGGCACTGCTTTAGGCATTTGGGATACACCAGTATGCAAAAACACACAATATTTCCATAGAGCATACATTCTGGTGTATGGCCAAAGCCTCCCGACTGTTTCAGGGGACTTGGCCTCTGTCCTCTTCTAAGGCTACCACGTTCCTACAATTCTCTGCCTTCAAACTCAGGCCAATCCAAAACCAAGTTTTCTTTCTTTTTTTTTTTTTTTTTTCAAAACCAAGTTTTCTTGAACATTCCTGACTGCATGATACTCTGTCAAGGGGCACTTTCATTCAAGACCAACATAGAACTTAAACGACAGAAGAAGATAAAGCTGGAAGAGAAAGAAAAGAGGTCATGGCTCCTTGTTTTAATGTAAAGCACATCCAGATATCTTTAGCAGTAAAAGAGAACATTACCCACAGGATCATTCTGGCAGAAGAATAAGCAATAGAATAAGGGCAGGTCCTCTAATCAGGTTTGTGCATGCTGTTTCTGCCTCCTGGGCTCCTTGGGTTCCTGGAGGAGCACGTACATGCCAGTCAGAGGCACTTCGTGGTTGTAACAAATGCTCTGGATGCACAGAATGTTCTGTAAGATGGGAAAATCAGGAACTGGCTCTTGCCTGTATTAGAGGAGGGAGTGCTGGTGCCATGAGGACAGCTTTGAATGAAGTAGAACCCCTAAGATGCATGCAGGAAACCTTGTCAGCTGCAAAGCAGTCTCTCCCAGACGCTTCCCTAGGTTTCTAGAAACTCTGGGTGGGCTTCCAATCCCTGGCTCGGCCCTTTTCTCAGAGATTCTAACCCTAGTTTGTCAACCGCAACATTAAATCCGTCCCCTCACTTGCTTTTGGCAAGATGAGATTCTCTGCATGTGTGTTTTCAGAAAACAGAACGAGGTTCAGAGGGAAG